TCTGGTTTTTCTTTCAATTAGTCGAAGGGTACCCACGAGAACGAAAGTTTTTCACATCTCTCTTTTTATAAGCCTTTTACTGCCGTCGCGTGATCTTCCGAGTTTTTCCGTATCAGTTCTGATGATTTTTCACTTCTTTTTCCTTCCTTTTTATTCAGCATGTGCCCTGACTTTCTTGGATTCTGTTTGGTTGTTTTTGACCTTTACTCTCTTGTTTGAACCATTTTGAAGATTGATAAGTCTGTCAGTAGAGACCCACTCCTTGTGCTAGTGTTTTTTCGAGGCAGTAGGCCTCGTCACATATTCAAGTTATTACTTCTTCGATCCCTTCCCAGTTGTCCTCCATATCGATTTTTTCTACTAGATTTTTTATGACTTAGAACATTTCGCCTAGAGAAATCTCGGGTTCTTTAAGTTTTTTATCATCTTGTAGTTCTGTTCGCCCAACGGTGCAAACTATTTGACTTCAGTTCTAGCTCAGCCAAATTCAGGTGGTGATATAAGGTGCCCTTAACTCTCTCCTTGTTCTTACGTCTTCATAGGATTATCTAAAGCCTTTTAGCGATCGATTTGGTTCCCCAAGGCATATGAAGTCTGCATATCTTGTCTATGCGTTGGTGAGAGTATGATGCCACGTATGCAAGATTTGCACCATTTTAATTACTTTCATGATACGCCACGAAGGTTTTGTACCTAATGTTGTCCCTACCGTCTTTTGGGTCCAGGCTCAATGCCAGAATGAGTAGGTCTGTTCCAAGGCAATTTTCCATGATGAACTTCAGTCTTCCATAAAATAAGTCTTTATTGTTGTTGTCTTCAAGAGATAACATCATCAACAATTCTTTCTTTTTTCTTCAACCACATCAGATTGTTTTTGGTGCATTCTATTTATGAATAGGAGAAGAAAACTGCACCTTCCTCGAGGCAAGTCTTTTCTGTATAGCTTGTTTCTAACGCTCTTATACTATTCGCAAGAGAGCCAGCTAGTGTCTCCTCATTCTCACAGCAACTTCGATGCCACTGCCGGCCTCCTACATGGCATAGAAATTCTACGTACTTATAGAAATTGTTGGTTTTTGACATACGAAATTATAATAGTTCTATGTGGAGACCTTCTTACTCTTACGGCAGTGTTCTTTCGGTCTACTATGGTTAGAATTTATCTGGCTGTGATTTTGTTTGCGTTGAACAACATAATAGCGGAAAAATCGATAATGTTGAAGATGCTACAGGTATTTAAAGTTTGACAACGCTTTGACCAGTAACATCCTCCATTATGAATCGTACTCACCAAGTGGAATCAAAAGACAGAAGCTTGGAGGTTCGAAGATGTATTTGACAAGCTATCAATATATCGGAGATTTCCTGATTTAAACTGGCTAGCAATTGCAGTAGATTTTGAGCACGGCGTTCCCACTAGTGGTCTTGTGCGGATGCATGATCGAGCGCCTTCAGCTAAGTGAGTTCATTAAAACTCATGTGGTCAGCATCCAGTGTCAAAAACTTATTCTGGGGGTTTATTTACAACTACAATGTAATCGTACCAGTAAATTAACCTTACTTAGCTAGCTTAGATTCCTAAACTTACAACTTTTAGAATTACAGAAAGAAAAAAAAAAAAGATTGCAACTATCCTTCACTGGTACATTTAAGTAATAAACTGTACATACGAGTACATCAATTCAGAATATTAATTAGGAGGTATTGTGCAAACAATTTGGCGAGTCTCTAATCCAAGAAATTAGGTTCTGAAGGGATGTGGTAGCATCTTCGGACTATTTTTTAGAAAGAATTTAATGTTTACCTACATGCTGATAAATCAGATAAGTTTCTTTTCTTCATTGAATGAGGTTTTGAGAATCCTGAATGAAAAAAAGCTGTATGTTTCAATTAATTGGGACCCTATCCCTCAACTCAGGATCACATAACAATCATTTGAAGATTTAGGTTCTCTGCACACAAGTTAAGGGCAAACAATGGCCAGTATTTCCACAAGATATATGTATTCTTACTGACTAATCAACTGTCTAAGAGTACCAAGGATGTACAGTCTAATCCTATGTCTAGCCCTTCGAAGAGAAGAACGGACCCTAGATGAATGCTAAGTAAAAGAGGCATCACGCCCTTCCATCTTCATAGTAAGTGTTTGAAGCGCAACGGCCATAATTGTTTATTCTTGCAAAATGCACTACAATGAATTAAGGTCATAATACGCACATTTATGAAGTAAGGTAGTCAAGGTGATCTCGGCATTGTTATTAAAATGCTTCAGAATAGACGTTATTCAAAATATAACAGCCCTTTATTCAAAATTGAAAACCTTTCGTAAATTTAGTTCTTTCCACCATTATAGATGTTTTGCAGATTTTTTATTAATTGTTCTTTATATTGGCATATAATAAACGTAGCCGTACTTTTTATGATATTCGCCTGAATATATGGGTGAGAAGAGGTATTTAAGTTTCGCTTTTTGCGGTCTCAGGTATACAGAAGATTTCTAAACAAATACTCATGTTGTTCTATTTAAAAGCAGAGTAAAAAGTGTTTCGTGGGGGTAAAATAATGAAAGCATTACTTCTTAGGTTGCTGAATTGTCATGATTATTTGTGTCAGGATTAATCTTATTCAAATTTTCGATATTCGATTCACCCTATACACTTTAAGAAAGAGAAATAAGAGTAGTGAATTTGTATTAAATGCCTTTCATTAAAACTTTCATAAACACCAAAAAGCTTTTCAAAATATCGTTATACCAATTTCTTAGTCATGAATTATTATAGAGATTTTATGCACACTGTTTAATGATTGTCGAGTACATATTCTGCCAAAACCTCTGTAGGGTATTTTTCGACACTTCGCTTAAGATTTGGTAAGATCCAATGACTTGTTGCATATTTGCCACCTTAAACCATTCACAGAAACATGCAACCTTTGAACAATACAGCGCGTTCCAAAATTTCGAGCTATTCTGATTCATTAGCAATGAGATGCAAAACGACGTAATATGAAATCTTAAAAATCCATTTCAGAAAGTTGATCTATAAATAATGTACGAAACTGGAGTTCTCTAGCTACAAACAACAGTAACGTACCTGATGTATGGTTGTAAGTAGCATTGTGTATCCACCAATTTGTGATAAAATATTGGAGCTCTGATTCTTTTAGGAAACCACTGATTTTATCCTTCAGGTGAATTTTGTTAAGTATACATTTAATAAACAACAAACTTTGTTTCACTTTAATGATCCAATATCTGATATATGGAAGTAGTTTAGGAAAAAAGCAGCTGAGTCCTTGTTTTGTCATTCCTTTAAATTTGTCATTAAATTTTATTTAGGGATTGAATTGCAGCAATACGAAATGAAGTTTCTAAAGGTCTATTGGTTCTTCAGAAATTGTTGAACTACCTTGGTCAATACTGATAACTAGAAAGGTAAAACTTACAGTCATTTCACCTATCACCTTTAGTATTACTTAGAATGAACAATACAAACTGCTTTAACTGTTACTACAGTGATTTTCGCAGCACATTTGATTATCGATTTACGAAATATTTATTACTGTCTATTTTTGCTCCGATTATATAGTTAGCTTAGGACAAACAAACACACGTGTCCCCTATCGCTGATTTGGTCATGATGGTATACTTCTAGCTAGAACAAAGACGCTTCTTTTTGGGTGGTTAGCTTGTTCTGTTACATAGAAATCTCATTTTATTGGCAGATGAAAAGTATCACTAATTCCCAATAACACTTGAAGCAAAAAAGGATATTATTATAGTTACTAAACTATATTGCATTATTACATGGATATTCACAGCAATTCAGTTAGTTGAAAAACTTTTCATTCTGTCAGAGATAAGTCTCTTAGAGAACATGTCCGTAGTTCAAGTTTGTTAAACAACGTCTGTCAAGTATTATCATTCTGAAAATACAGTAAAGCAAAACTTAATATCTATCCGAAGATTTTATAAAGTTGTTGTTGGAGGATATATATTAAAATAATACCCAGTTTATTAAGTAAATGTATGTTGCAAGGAATAAAGAATGGAGTGTTATGATTCCCTTATTCCTTTTAACATATATGAGACCGATTTCTGTAAAACATTCGGTAAAGATTTATTATGAAGTGTTATTTCTATGTCGATTTTTAATGTGCATGTCGTGCAGAAGTGAAAATTTGATGAGTTTATATACTATATTTTTGTATGAAGTCGGTTATTAGTGATTACAAATTATCAGGATTAAAGGAGCTTATTTTATTTCACGATTTGAAATATGCTAACACTTTGTTATTGAGGTGAGAAAGTCGTGCTTAGTTTATATAACCACTTTTTAAAGACTTTTATGCATTTATTTGGTTCTAGATTTTCAAAAGCAGTTATTAAGAAACGATTAATCTAGGTTTATGGCTGTTTGGTCGAATCAGAAGTGTTATTTTACTCACTGGGTGAAAACATATCTTGATGACGAGTATAAGTTAACACGAAACTTAGGTTTATGACACTCTACTGATCACTTACTGTATTGATCACATTTATATGCAGGTAATTTAGAACTGCTAACAACATATTCTAAAGTTATCATATAATTTTTAATTCTCGGTTAAACATTTTATACTTATCCTTAAAAAACTATTCTGAATCCATTCAACTACCGAACATGACATACAAAGCACCTAACAGTGTTCCGTATATAATAAAACGACTTGATTTATTTCATATTATAGACTGGTATAGTAGTGAGCCTCTGACCATTATAAAATTGTGATCTTCACAACCGAACAATTAAGGAAACCTCTTAAGTTTATGGGATAGAATAAGTTGTTTAACAATGGTAATGAAGAACAAGATTTTTCCAATGGCATTTTTGAATGTTATTGTTAATATAAATAACTGTTTCGAAATATTTTCATCTAATTTCAGGTCTATTTTATTTTCAATTGGTTTGTTTCGTTAAAAGCACAAACAACATTTTGATATTGTTATAATTAATGATCTTATGAGAATTTTGTTTCGGAAAAAACTAACTCCATTAGTTACTAACTTTCAAGCAAATGTAAGCAACATTTGTGAGTCATATGATGTGAAGAACAAGGATAATTTGGAAAATATTGAATATTGTAAAATAGAATATGCAAATTCAGCTGAAAAGGATGTCATATCAGGTAGGTTGAACAATCTTGAACAAGTTTCATTCTACGCAATAAGTAATCATTTTACAGTTCAAAATGAGCTTGATTTAAAATTTTCTTTAACAAATACTGATATTTCTGCAGGTAGTATAAAGATAGATATCATGTTTGGTCTTAGGGTTTTATAGAGTTGTGAAATCGAATTCTAATAGTGATAACCAAGTTAGTTCATTTCCATTACTATTATGACCACTAATATGATAAATAATTCGTATATGTGAAATAATTACGAATTCAATGTGCATCAACTAGGCATCCTAATAAGAATCTTATTAAATAATAGGAGAATTAATGTGGGTTTATGTTGGTTAATAAGTAAAAGCGTTTTTATAGAGATAAAATGAATATGTGACTGAACAAAGAAGTTTAAAAATGTCACATATTGTTACACGGAAGATTTTAACATATATATCAATAAACTAATTTTTACTAATAGTTTATACATACAAAATAACTAAATACTGGCAAGTATATTCAGGACCAAATTTATTTACAACCTGTAATTTATCATTTCAAAGTTATAAATTCATCTTAAATTTTTCTTCTGATACGGATTTCTCTTCAGATTGGTTATATAAAATTACTTTTGATACAAAGTGAACTACAATAATTTTTAATCAAACTATTAATTATTTTCAGAAGGGGGGGTTTATGGAGATTTTAGTAATTTAATAGTTTAATTCGTGAGTCAATTAAAGCTAGGTCACCATGAAAAACCTGGAAGCACTGGACGGCCATTTCGTTCCAGTATCGGATCTCAGCAGTGATCATGCACAATCTCACTCGTGAGATCTGAACCCAGGACCTACTGGTCTCACGCGTAAATCCCGCGAGAGGAATCGTGGATGCGCATTGCTGAGGAGTCCCATACTAGAACGAAATGGCCGTCCAGTACTTTCTGGTTTTCCATGGTGATCTAGATTCAATTGACTCATGAATTCACCTATTAAATTATTAGTTATTTGTTTATTAATTTTTTCTATGCTAAAATTTTAGATGTTCAGTCGCCAAGTCTAAGTTATAATTCATCCCTTCATTCTTTGCCGATCAATAATAATGAAAAGAATAATTTAACAAAAGATAAAGACTATGGGTATAAAATTAACGAAGATTTACCATGTTTAACCGAATCAAATTTATGTGAAAAAGAGAATTTATCAAGTCATACAAATAGTGAACCTTTAACAAATACTACTACTCAATGTTCAAATGGACAAAAATTAAAAATAAATGAAAATGATTCATTAGAAACAGTGGAAAATGTTAACAAATTAATATCTAATAAAAATGAATTAATAAAAGAAGTTACACAAATTACACATTCAAAACTATCTACTTTTCCTATTATAAATAATAATAATAATAATAATAATAATAATAATAATAATAATAATAATAATAATAATAATAATAATAATAATAATAATGAAAATAAATTATTGCGACGAATTAAAACTGAGCGTCACTATAATAATCATAATAATGTACAATTTTATACAATCGAAAAAAATTGTCAGTTATCAACAGAACGTTTAAAAATAGCTAAAGATGAAGCTGATGAAGCAATAAAAGTATGTGTATTATTGTTGTTGTTTAAAAAATATTGTCATTTAAATTATATGATAATCAGTATAGAGTTGTTCTACAGATTGTTGAGTTTCATTGAAATCATGAACCAATCAATGTCCCAATACTAAAACGAAATGATTGTCTAGTGCTTCTAAGTTTTCAATAGTAGTCTAATATTGCTCGGTTCATGGTTCGAGTGAAACTCAACAATTCTCATAAGTCTGTACGAATAATTATTATATGCTCACTAGTGCTTCCAAGTTTTCGATGGCGGTCTAACATTGATCGGTTCATGAGTTCAGTGTAGATTATATAATATTGAGTATATGGTTAGTTTTTTTAATTATTGATGATGATATATAGCCCTTTACAATTAAGATTACTTCAATGAATAATATAAAATGATATATATGACAGTATCAGAAGGGGTTTGTGGAGATTTTAGAAATTTCACAGACTGAAATCATGAGTCAATTGAAGCTAGACCACCATGGAAAACCTGGAAGCACTGGACGGTCTAGCTTCAACTGTCTCATGATTTCGGACTGTGAAGTTTCTAAAATCTTCACAAACCCCTTCTGATAATAATCATCTGCTCACTAGTGACTGACTCCAAGGAATACTCCTGGAGTTCTAGTGAGAAGCCGTTATCAGTGGAGTTCAATCAGGTCTGTTGTGAGATATCAGCTCACTGAAGAAAATGGTGTACGGTGGCGCAACTTCGTGGATTGGTTGAAGTTAGACATTAACACCATTGGATACCGGCTCAGCGGTCTAGTTGGTTAAGCGCCTGGTGCGAAACTGATAGGTCCTGGGTTCGAATCTCGCGTGGTGCGGGATCGTGGATGCGCACTGCTGAAGAGTCTCATACTAGGACGAAACGGCCGTCCAGTGCTCCCAGGTTTTCCATGGTGATCTAGCTTCAACTGACTCATGATTTCAGTCTGTGAAATATATGACAGTATGAGTACATAACATCTTTGTTCTACGGATAAAAAGGGATTCTTTCAGGTTCTCATATTTCACATTATTATAGGAATAGAAAAATCAGATATCAGTAATGCATTTTAGTCAAATCAGTGAATAAACAATAGGAATTACATTAAATCAAATCATTTAATCGGATGTCTTGAAATTCAGTATGAAATAAAATAAATAAACATCCACTGTTTTTTCCTTAATTGACAAGTTGAGACATAAGAATGTAAATAAAATGAACGCAAGATGGAATAAAATTTTATTTTATTTTCAAGATTGAACATTTTCTTGTTATTGAATATTACTATGAGGCTCGGATGGCTAAAGAGGCAGACTATTATAGAGCCATATGGATGAGTTCCTCTACTGTATGCATTACGATATCAGAACCTCCGAACATCTTTCTAAGCTTGACACGTTTTTGAACCATGTGAAAGAAATGTATCCAATTTAATTCTTTGGTTTTGTATAATATATTTTTACTTTATACTCACTGTTTTCTGATAGTTAATATTTATCAAGGTCGCTTAAGATTCGTTCAAAGGTCGTCCATAGATTATGGTCTCGCCGTTTGATCTTATTGATGAAAGTTAATATCAACGTTCGTTAAGTACACTTTCCAATGTTCAACTTAGAAAAAAACAATAAACACTTCAGTTACTGGTAAAATACACCAAACTATCGGTGCTATGTTATGTTTTTTTCCGACCACGAATCTACTTTAAAATACTGATTAAGCAATAAACTTGTATGAATGACTCACAAAGTCATGATTTACCGGTATCTTAAATAACAGTTTTGATTATTGTGCAAGATGAACATGATACGTACATTAATTTACTAATTTTCTGTTCATATTAAACAGAGTCGCAAAATATTTTCTATTCTTGGTCCTTATAATCGTATCAGAAAAGCATTACGAACTCGTGGATGGATTGAGAAATTTGATGTCAATATTGGACCACCAGGACAAACTACACAGGAATCAAAGAAAACTATAAGATCGATTACTAATGTAAAAACTGTACTAAATTCCAATTCGTCTTCGAATGATACAACACTAGAAGATTCTGAAGATGGCGATTCAGATGATGATGTGACTGCTGTGAACGAGGGTATGCTTCTTTTCATAATTTTAGGCAATTTTCATCAGTGAGTACTTTGCCTTAGGGTCTAAAATAGCTTGAAATCTATGACCTCGTTATCCCATTATAAAAGAATGATTGAAATTGTACTCAAATTTTTACTAGTTTACTGAAATGACACCAAGCGCTTAACTGAGAAAAACAGTCCAATGAACAAATATTGGAAGATATGATAAGTATACTATAGTTTAATTTTTGCGAAGATGATCTTTCATCAGGAATGAAAATCAACTGGGTAAACATCATAAACTGAAGATCATTAGACAGCATTTTCTTCGTAGTTTAGAATTTTCCACTAGAGTACTTACGACCCATCGCTTTACGACATTTTTTAGATCGTAGAGATTTATGAATCAAATTCAGCTTTCGTATATTGTATTCATGACATTGCTATAAAGTTGGCTGTTGGTTCTAACCGTATAAATAACAGATAATTTAATGCAAAATAATGTAATAGCTAATTACCTGAACAGATTAAGATCAAAAGTTAAAATTTACCACAGTAATTTGTTAACCGTAGATATCTGAAAGATGAATGTTATCTTAAATTAATAAAATCTGATTTCACTAGTGTTTTGGTGAGATAATAGATCTTCCAATTTTAGCTTTAATATTCTCCTAATTTATACATTCTAATAGGTTTCTTTTTAAGATGCAATTGTCAAATCAGTTGATTAATTTTGCATACCGGTGAACGCCTCACGAAATATTTATTTTCAGACGTAACCTGTACTAACTTTGTTTTTGTTTTAATGTGTTTACATTTAATAGAAAAATGATAATTAAATAATAAGTTAATATTTGGTATTTCTAAATATTTACTTCACTGCAATGCATTAAATCTAACAGAAAAACAACGTGTTCAACCGTGGGAAGAAGATAGTGGATACTATGGATTATTGGTAGGTGTGACTTTATTTTAATGAGAATAAAATTAGTTAAATATGATTAAAATGATTTTGTCCCTAAAATTTGTTGTGCTAAGACCAATAACGTATGTATTTACAAGAAAGACTGCATTAAAAAATGGGTGCATGTAGTATTCTACTAATTTGATCTATAAACCATGGGGCTGATGAACATCTTAAACTCCGACACTGAGGTCCGTTTCCCGACGTAACTAGTAATTTTTAATAACTTACTGTGATAAGATATACATGTAAGTAGATAACAACTTTTATATTACAACATCCATTATTTTGATGATCATTAATGATATATTTTGTTACAGTAAAGGATTTTCAGCACCAGTTGAGTAATATAATAGTAAATTTCTCTTTAATACATATTTAAATTGTAATGACTCGAAAATCCTATTTCATTAATGTCTTTTCAGAAGTTATTATCCTTCATTTTTCTTCAATAAGGAAAGCTTAATATCAGTTCAGATACAACAAATAATTTTTAACCACTGGACAATGAATACATGAATTGTAATGTAGTCGTCTTGTTTATGTTAAGGGGTAGAAAGAGAGGAAAATATGTCAACAAGTTCAGTGTCTTATTTTACATTATCCAGTACTCAGCATCAGGATTGATTATAAGCTCTAAAAATAGGAACGAATACACGTAGTTGGGATTCATGGTCATATAGTTCCAAGAAATCTAAAACTGGGATGCTGATACTGATATTCATACATTCTTAAAGTAGGTAGACCAAACGTTTAAACAAACGTCCATAGCTTCTGATTCTTACTGGCTTTGATTGCTTAAAAATATTTTATTCTTGTCTTTTCATGGATATTATTTCATAATTTGGATTTGGATTTTATTCATATATGAGACTAAATCTCATTTAGGAGGTTTGTTGGGTTAATTATAAAAAAAAACTATCTTAAAATAACTCTGTTTATAGTTACTGCAAAAAGTGCTATTTTTAAAGGCATAGGAAAGACATAGCTAATAAAGAAGATTTTGAAGATGTTACACTGTGAGTTGTATGATTTAATTGCAGAAATCTTCAATATCTTTGTAGACAGCATTATCAGTACATAGTTCGAATAGATTTTAACGGTTAGATTCTCTTTGAAGTTTGTCTTGATGAAAGACAATGGAAACTTGAAAATTCAAATCATCCAATTCAGAGAATGTAGCATTATTAAAAAGTGAAATTTTTCTTTGTACTTTTGTTTCTCTGTTATTACATCTCAAGAATAATAGTAATTATTATTATTATTAAAAAGCATATTGTAAATGATGACTCCATGAAATGCGTAAATATTAACTATTGTTCAGTATCAGGAATGGAGTGATCAGAGGAAAAGTAATTTTATACATGAAACAATGTAGTTCGCTTCCTTAAAAATCTTTCGTAAATATTCAAGATTAAAATCACACATAGAAGATTGAACCCAGTACATTTTATTAAACCTAATCACTGCAGATTGATCCTAATGATCCTAATGATGACTGCAGATTGATAGAAATCATATTCATTTTGAAATAAACGAGTATTAGCTTAAACTTATCAAAGATTATTTATCTAAAAGATTGGTATGTTAAAAAAAACAGTTTGATTGCTTTTTAGTGGCCCTCGTGTATCTGACTCTAGTTCGACCGTGTGATGATCGTATGGATGATTGCTTTTTAAACATACAATCGTTGGTCCAAACAGACGATCAGAGAAACGAAGCAAAGAGGAGAGGGAGAGAAGCAAAACGGATCAAAGAAGGCGTGTGAGCCAACCCTGATTCGTTTTGTTTCTCTTCTATCCCTCTTCACTTTGTAGCTTCTTATTTTGAATCTCTGTCTGCATAAACAAATGATTGAACTAAATTCCTCGAATGCCACCCGTATTTGGCTCCTGATTACCACCGTCATAAAAAGGGGTTAGCTTAGGTAGATTTATATTTATAGAATAGATTTATATTCATAGAATATTCGTACTTTCTTTCAAATTGGAGTCAGATCAGCCGGCACCACAACTTGTTAAATATGTATCATTAATTAAATGAAAAATTGGCAGTTGAAAACCTTGAAGCTAAATTTTGTTCATATATAAGTTGTTTTCTATAGAGAGAGAGGGAGAAGGAGAGAGAACAAATAAAATTCAGTTTAAATAGCTAGATAGTTACACTGATGACATCCAAATAAAATTACATTCGCTATATTTCAGAAATATTGTAAGTACACAATTAGTTATTCATTGAATTTTAATTGAAGTACCATACAATTAAAGCTAGAACAACTCCAGAAATGCAATAATCTTTTAATGCAATACTGTTAATAATAATTAGTTTGATGTATTAGGTACTAAGTAATAGGCATGATTCATTAGAAACTGAACAATGAATGGGTTTTTCGGTGATAACATCATGAAAAATTACAACAATATTCTATTCCAACTTAATTGTAAATCATTGCCGACATAGATTTCATGAATTCAGAATTGAAGTTCTGTAAGGAAATTAATATCTATGAGATAATGACTTGATTAAATCTTATTCAAGTTTAATTTTGATTGAATTCACTGAAAATATTAAAATTCCTTAATAAAAAGCTGAATATTTTTGATGATTTTAGAGACATAAACATACATCACCTATAAGAAGCATACTATTTTTACTATTGTCTTCAAACTGTTTTCATGCTGAATATAAAACTATACCTTTCAAGCGATGAAAACATCCTTCTACAATTTAAAGCATAAAATTATATTGAGATTATATATAACGAGTGAACTCTATATCTATGTGTTAATTTTGTTAAGATTACGAAGAATTGTAAATGAGACGGTTTATAGAGTGAAAAAAACCTCTGTGATTCATTTTAGTAGTCAAGTATTAGTCTATGAACAAATCTATGATTTATAATTTTCATATGATTACTATTTATATTATTTAATTGATAAAACAAGGGAAGTTAGAACGGAGTTCGAACTAGTGATTTGGTGGATGGAAGTTGTGTTCCTTAACTACTACTACACCAGTGCTTCATATTAACATTAAAACTATAAAATGATGGGTGTACTGTATGATAAGCAATCCATTTTTGAACTAGATATAACTGCTTATTGTCAGCGTGGGGTTGTAGAGATTGTTGGATGTCACTGGAATCATGAGCTTATCTAACTTAGACAACCGTCGAAGGTCTAGAAGTACTGGGTGTCCGTTTTTCCCTAATACGAGAATACTCGAAAGTACGCATCCAGTAACCAGTGGAGCTAAAACGTGGCGGGTGTGGGGGTGGTATCCACTTAAGACAATGGAAGATAAACGCAAAATATCATGAATTAATTGAAGTTAGACTTTTAAGCTATTGGATCCCTGCTTAGCGGTTTAGAGCTTGATCGTCTGCTCACGAGGTTGAGTGTTCTGGGTCCGATTTCTGGTTGCGGTGAAATGTTCCTAAGTTTTTAATGGTCGTCTAACCTAAATAGGTTGATGATTTCAAAGATAATTGTTTAGATATTTTTATCCTTGTAACGAAAAATATAAATTTTAATTTTTAAAATATATTTGTATACCATTGTAGTCACGTATGGTTCGTTCAGAGTTGCCAAGATTTATTTGGTCATTACGTAAAAATCAAGTTGATTTTCAAAACCTTCAGAAAGATCAAATCATTAATCATCACAGTGGTGCACCATTTACAACTAAGGTAAATAATTATGTAGTTATTCATTTATTTGGTACTTTTCATTGAGTTCTAGTGTTCAACTTTTTTTTTCTAAAGATCTGATTAATTTGTAAATGGATAATGTTAAAACAATACTGGATCTATGTGAAATGCTCATTCTTAAAATCTCTGATAATCATGTATTAAATTCTAATTTATAGTAATGTTTACATTTTCATTCAAGTGTATTATCTCCCCATCACTTTTTTCAGTATTTCATTTATTTATTTGAACATATTGGTACAAAGGGGCATCGAATACATATGCGCCACACAAGTCACTTGATTCGCGTGTGGGCTATGATGCTGCCCGGGTGCCCAGACCGAGGCAGATCGTTTCCTTAGGAGCCACAGCAAGAGCATTCAACCTAAAGGTCTGATTCACAAGGCAGTGAAGCAACGTAAGGAGATGCAGTCCCATGGTAGCTAACTACCAACAATAGGTTCATAGGCCATTTGTTTCCTTAGGATCCTGGTACCCATGTGCACCACTGGTTTGGAGCCAGGGTTTTCCGACTACTCTAGGTGGATCCTCCCTATCCACCAACCCAGTTAAAGTGCCTGACATCCGCTTTTCATGCTCTCAATTTTGTAAACAGCACCTCTGCAGTGGGAAGGCAGAGAGCAGGACTTCCATGGCAGTGGCTATATATGCATGGCCATATGAAAGCATTTCGAGAGGGAGAGCAAACCCTCGCCATCCTCAGCCGTACCAAGGCATTTGGAGACTGTATTACTTGGAATTTCTTTATAAACATGAAAAATATTCTTTATAAACTAATTTCCTGTATTAAGACATTTACATTTGATATACGATAATCAATATCGTGTAAAGAAGTAAAAATGAATTGAAATTCCTCAACATATTTCAAAATTATTAATGAGTGAACTACTGAACGACGATTTGAATTAAACAACGCAAAGAGAGATAAACTTGCAGCAAAAAGGAAAAAACAATTCTGCAAAATGATCATAAAACAAAACAAAACAAAAAAATAGTGAGATTTATGGCCCACCCAATTTTTACTCGATTAAAAGTAAGGTAATGAAAACTATTCATTTTGAATAAAAATAATTTTATCGAATTTATTTCCATGTAATTTTTTTTCTATTATTTAGTATCTATGACCACTGACAAAGTGCAGCAATATACATTTATTCGCTTATTATTTAAATTTTAATACTAGAAATTAGCTATTGACTTTGATTTGTTCTTGAGTATTTTTTTTAAATGAGCTTTTGTTAAAGTGTTCAATAGACAAAGAAAGTACCTATTTATTATCATTAATGAAATGGATATTTTAAAATATGAACACTCAATAATCATAAACCGTAAATACAAAGTTAATAAGTTCATAACTCATCTTATTACATATTTTACTTGAGATCCTATTTCCATTCACTCAGTTATTTATTATCTTTCATTATCATTACATTTTATTCGGTTTTACCTAGATCTTTCTATTGAAACTGATATAACGTGTAGGTTTGTGCCCTAATAGTGTATAATGTATTGATAACCCCGATTAGAGAACAGTGAATTATCGACCGGACCAGTGACGCATAAAACCTGTACTAGCAGTCTAGAGTCTGTACCGGTCCAGCTTCCCGCCTAGTCCTGCCTGTTAATTCCAGAACATCAACCTCAGCCTCTGCGATAGGAATCATGTATTTCGGACATACTGGGTTTATATGCAGACCAAACAGAGTACATCGTGCCATAAAATAGAAAATAACATTTGTACAAGATATAGCCTAAAGTGGCTGTGAATGTGGGAGATAGTAATTGATAGAGTGGACATAACTCAAGAATAGTAAATCGTATAATGATAGTTCATAGGTCAAAATAAAACTTATAATAAGAGGAACACGAATACGAGTGGTTTAATTACTTAACACTTATACGATAAAAACATACGTGATAGTATTAGTCCAGAAATGGATTCCAACAGTAACTATTCATTATTCTCATCGGGATATAACAGAAACAAAAATTAATCATGTATTAAGTATAATTTTAAAACAAGCAGTAAATCAATCTGGTTTACAGTGTGTCTTTTCACGGATAAATATTTATACATTTCAAGGAATTTTTAAATTAGATCAAATTGGCTACATAAATTCAGAGAGATAAATAGAACTAAGTAGCTATTCCGTTTTATTATCGGAATGTTGTTCGCACAATATTATTAACTAAATAAAATTGGAAATGTGAACGATCGAACTTTGATTAAGTGATTGATTAATATCTAAATTATCTCAAGACTTGAATACACTAGATCAAATCCTATATGAAAACGTTGATTTATACTAATCAGTGGTCAAAATTAGGACTTGTCAGCCGCCTAGTGATATCAAGTAATTTTTCAGTTGTTGTTAGTTCATAGTGGAAAACCATATTGGAATATTATGAAATCTCTACAAAATCACTTTAAATAACTCTGACATTCTAAAAGTCTGCTTCTTGAAAATTTATTTGTGAATAAATATTCAGATTCAAATAGTCTAAATGGATTTATCAAATATGTACATTCTAAATTAGGAAAGTGTGGGTCGAATGATTTGACATTATATATGAATTTATGGGCTGATGATAAATTAAAGTAAGAAGTGTTTCGGCTCGATCAGTATTCTTCAATCCATCCTGAAAATGAAAAGAATTATTATAATTAAGAGCCAGTATTAATTATTATTGCCAACGAAGTTATTACTTCTCATTAATAGACTTATTGAAATCTTACTCTCATTTAATTTGTTTAGTATACTGAACATTTCATTATACCTTTTAAATAACAATTTGATTTTTATAGTTAACATCAGGGACTGACCTTAGTTAGACAACTATTGAAAGTTGAGGAAAAATAGACAGCTATTTTGTCCTAATATGGGACTCCTCAGAAATATGCACTCACGATTGCTTCACTGAGGATGGGACGGAGGACCTTTGATTTCGGGCTCGAGTTATAAACCTTTAGACCACCAAGCTGACATCCAATACTTCCTGGTTTTCATTAGTTGTTTCACTAATGTAAGTCCATGAATTTAACCATAAAATTCAAAATATTCACAAACTTCCTATAGTAGTGATAATTCTGTATTATTTTATGGTATTATCGATCTAATTTAGGTTGGACTATGCAGACAATTACGTCAAATAAGATGGTTTGCTGACTGTAATGCTGATTACTTTTTCCCGCGTTGTTTTATCATCAGTGAAGAAGATGATCGGCAATCCTTTATAAGTAAGTCCTATTAAGAATGTACCATTCCATCAAAAGTTATGATTTATCAACAAGTCAACGACATATTAATCTACCTTTTAAAATATTATTCACGTATTAGTTTATTTTTCAAACCATTAACTAAGCGTAAATCTTTGTTGTTCATATGATCTTCACGTTAAATGACTATAGCTGGAAATATAAGACAATAGATTTCAACTTAGTAGTTTGAAGATATTTTTGGAAATCTAAAGCGTAACTTTTTATTCTATATTAGTCTCAGAAATTTATGCATGACTGCCTTCTAAATAAGAGATTACGAACCATACTTTCTTCAGAACAATGGTCAATATTAAGTTTCATGTCTCAGTTCGTACATTGCCAAATTAGGTAGCGACGGAAACCAATCAGTAAATATTTACATTTCATAAGGTAATCATTGTTGGTAAAATTTGATACTACCGTGGCATGGATGATTAAATTCAACCTAAAAAAACTTTTCGATATACCTACTGGATCTAATGTCCACTGAATTAGTTAATTTCGATAAGTTAGTGAGTTTTTTTCTAAATAAGTCACACAAATTATATCTGATAAAATGGAAGTCGCCTAACTTCTAAACTATGAACCCGACATATATATATATATATATATATATATATATATATATATATATATATATGTATATATATATATCAAGTTTAAGTTGTCTCTTTGTTGAAATTGTGGATTGGATTTGATCAGTCTTTTAACACATATGCATTCTTAACCGATTGTCTCAATAATACCTTTACTTGTAAGTTATAGAACATACGGATAGGTGCGCTGGGTTCAATAGCTAAGCGCAGTGAGACTATGACTTACAGACGAGCCAATCAGAGTTAGGATAATAGGTCTTGGATTTTGGCGCGAAGTTCACTCATTCACTTTGCTAAATGGCTTTTGTCATTTTAGCTGATATCAGTTGGTGATGAAAACTCTAAATCTAATTCATAACCCTATAAATTATAATCCTAATTCTTAACACTGGTTTATAACTCTGATTTAGCCCTCATAAGTAGGTGAACATTCTCAAAGTCACCATAGCATCATTCACAGGTCGTCCACAAATTATAGTCTCACACTAAACTCATTTCGACTACACTAAATACTGATTATTTATTTTATTATTATTAACTTTCACATTTTCATTGTTTTCCTACCGTAGATGATTTTAGATTAACAGCATGTATATCCATCGTAAAAATGATTGCAAATCTAATTTCTGATGTTCATCAATTAGATTCAGCTCTAATTCAATCCAATCCTAAAAATGTTTGTGATATGAATAATTTAGGTGAGACTAATGATAATGTAAATGATACAGAGGATTCAAACGTTCTGGAAATTGAAAGTTCCCCAAATATTGATTTATCCAGAGATAATACTTTATCTTTTTTAAATAACACAATATCCTATAAAAAAGTTTGGAATATAAGTGAGTTTATTGATTTGATAAGATCCTCGGGTGATTTTTCACTTATCAACAATTTTTAATAACTGTCTATATCTTATGAAGATTTTTTTAAAGAAAACATTATCATAATTGTCTCCAATATCTTTGAAGTAAACTAATCACATTTGATGAGTATATATTAGTATTTTACAAAAACTTCTCTTGATTGTTTTCAGTATTATAATTAGATCAGTTTAGTGTGTTTAGAAATCGAGACAATAATGGAGATCTTATTGTTTTCGAAACGTTTAAACTAAGATATTTAACAACTTGACCTTCGTACTAATATAAGAAATTCAATATGTGATTTCGAATTGTTAGTTACCAAGGGAAACTTGTCTAATGCATCAATTAATTTGTTGTGTTTTTTTGGATATGCTAAAAAGTTACAATCATAATCTCGTAAGAAATGTTTCCCTTAGATTTGAAAGATTTACACTTTTATACATACTGTGTAATAAAAAGTTGTATTTGTTACGGATTAATATGTTTGATGAGAACAAACTCGGTAGAAAATTTGTGAATACCTTCTCACAGATTACCTCTTAGATGTATCTTTAACATATTCTGAATTCAGTCAATAAAGCTTCATTGCATTTAAAGTATTTCTTTATTAATTTTGATTAACGGTTGAGCAAATATTTTTGACAATTTTAAAGACTATCTGTTATTTTAAATATTTAACATACATTCCTTTAAAACCTTAGATCTTAGAATAGAGATAATTTGAAAATGATTTGCTCATCTGTAGTTAGACTTATATTAACAAAACTCTTAGTGTGGTTTCATATTTTAAGCATTCTATACAAAGTAAATGGGTCTGATATATCAGAAAGACAACATCATATTCCATATTGTTCTACAACAAATTTAAGGATTTTATGTTGAAATTTTAAACATACATAACAAAGATGATAAATTTACTTTAATCTTACTGAATGTATTCGATCTCATACTAAGAATTTCTATTTATTGTAAACTATCTAATTACTTACATATTGATCGTGGATGCGTACTGCTGAGGAGCCCAACAACAGGACGAAACGGCAGTCCAGTGCTTCCAAGTTTCCAAAGGTGGTCTAACATCAATCGGTTCATGATCTCAATCAAGACTTAACAATCTCCATAACCCCTATACTCGTAATTAACATGTGCTCACTAGTGACTAGCTTAGTGAGGGAATTCTCGGAGTTCCAGTGAGGAGTCGTGACTGGTGTAGCTAATCCGTGTCGGGTAGAAACAGGTATCTATCTCAGTACAATGGAAGATGGTTGAGCAATTTCGTGGGTTGGTTGATGTTAGACACTAACACCATTGGATGCCGGATCAATGGTTCAGTAGGTTAAGCATTCGTGCGCGAGACTGAAGGCCCTGGGTTCGAATCTCGTGAGGGGGCGGGATCGTGGATGCGCACTGCTGAGCAGTCCCACAATAGGATGAAACGGTCATCCATTGCTTCCAGGTTTCCAACAGTGGTCTAACATCAATCGGTTCATGATCTCAATCAGAAACTTAATAATCTCCACAACCCCTATACTAGTAATATTTATATGGATGATTAATAGATTAATTACACTTCTACCGTCTTTTTATTAGACTTCGGAATCTAAAAACAAAATGCGTTTAGGTCTTTTTCTTCCATGGAAAACATACACAGTTACTTCTTACATAAAATAAAATCATGTTGTATAAACAATATAGAAGAACAATTTCTGTTTGTTAACAAAAGGCAAATAAAGATGAATTTTATCTGGCAACTTTCTAATTCAATCAATCAATAACAATAGTGTATGGTTAAATGTCAGATTAATGAATAGTTATTATTCAAGAGTTTCATCATTAAAAACTATTTACTTAAACAAACTCATCTTTCAACTGATATATATTAATCTTTTTATCTATTGAAATACTGATCTTTTGTGCTATTTATATGAAGTTTAAAATGTTAAACTTTAAAAGTGTACTAATCCTAATACATGGCACTTCTATCAATAGTATACGTACTATTTGACTGATGTTGTAAATGAAAAATTCAACTGTACCGTACGTACTCTGACGACGAAAGATTTGTATATTTTTATAATTAAACGAATTAATTTAACTGTTTTTTTTCAAAGATAAACTAATTTATTGAGTGTTTTAATAATAACGTATTGACTTAAATCAATTCAGTTAACTCTCATTGTGTTATAGTTAAATAATATACTTTATATGAATACTACATATAACCTGTAACACAGTTTATTACAAATAAAATCTAATTTTCGAATGATCCGTTGTTGTTATAAGTTATGTAGAAATGTCAACAATTTCATTCGATATGACTGGTATTTTTACACTGTTAGGATAGTCCACATCTAGTTAATCGTATTTCGTACACAACTGTACGTGAGTTATCGAGCAACTTTGTTAAAGTTATATAATTCAGTTTTTTTTAAACTTTTTTTTCTGCTTAATTCAGATTTACCACCAAGCGATTTGTTGAACAATTTTGAAATTCCAGATGAAATTATGGAATTTTCTATTTTTCAATGTCAAGAATTTCTTAAAACCAAGTATCATGACGATCTTGACAAGTCAAGTAAAGTATGTATTTTTGTTTATCTAAGAAAAACAATATTTTTTAATACATTCAAACACACGTATTAATGTCCCGTATAAAATCACCTAAATGAAAATCATATACCACTGACATAATCAGACCTATTTTGATTTTGACTGAACTAAACATTCTGGTTTGTTCCTTTTTACTATATAAACTTGTGTTGGTTTAATTGCGTTATTTATTCATTTACTCTTGGAACATGATTTAAACCAAGTTGTGGAATATAGGAATTTCGAGGTCTTACTCTTTGAAGTATCACAAATATATTATTATTTATCATAGTTGTGTATTTATGGCTCGCTGGTTATCACGTAATTTATTCACCAATCAAAATACGACTTATCAGCCCTTGTACTTTATTAAACCAATGGCGTTCGTTAGGTCTAATCAGCCTAGCGTCCTTTCGGTCCATTGCTCGCCTAACCCATCCAGTTGAGTCGGGAATGCCAACAACAGCCTCTACTATGCGAATCATTTATTTCAGACATACTGGGTTTATATATCAACCAAACAGACCGCAACGCACCATAAAATAAGAAATAACCTTCATACACAATGAAGTCAAAATGTGACTGTGAACGTGGGAGACTGTAACTAATAAAATGAACATAACTGAAGAACAGTAAATCGTATAATAATAATCGATAGGTCAAAATGAAGCTTATAATAAGATGAATATAATTATACACAATCTAACTGCCGAATAGTTATACCATAAGAATATATAGATAATATTAGTCCATTAAAAGGTCTCAGAAGTTACTCGTAATTTAATCTTCGCTAGGATATAACAATAGTAATCATTACTAATGACTTGTTTTTATTTTGAAATCAAATTATTTGAGGTAATTTATTCAAATGATATACGATGCAATATTTATATTTAGAAACATTATTTCTCTATCACCTACTTACAAGCTTTTCTATACAGTATACTGCATAATTATAAATTAAATCGATTTAAACACAGTCATTTCGGTCATTTTTGGTTGTACTGTATGTACAGCACGTTCGAACTAATTTACTTTTATTCATAAATAAATAATATATTTGTAATATTCTGTGATAAATAATGATGCTTCGTTTTCCGTTAACGATTTATATATAAACATATTGTTTTATTAAACATTAATCCTATTCTGTTAGCTAGTGGCTTTGTTTCTTATATCAGTTCATCCGGGAGTTTGGATCTCGTAAGCCACCATTCATTAGGGTAAATAGTATCATTCCACACCATTTATCGATCGATATTCTATTCATTCGTTTTGACGAGTACAAACCTCGTTCATTCATCAAATTATCGAATTTCTCTACAATACTGTACAAACCGATTATCACTACTATTAGTATCGTATTGTGAGATGGAATTAAGTCAAATCTAACTTGACTAAATGAATAGTTCAATTAATAATGATAGTTCTGCTACATTAGTCTTTCACTTACCATGTGAACCAGAAATGGTACAAGATTTGTATTGGTTTCTCGAGAGTATTAAACCGTTATTCATTTTCATTGCTTTATATTCATTCTGCTGAAATTACTTACTTACGCCTGTTATTCATCGTGGAGCATAGACTGATAACCAGGATTCTCTGATTTACTCTGTCTTGGGATTCTATTGAAATAGCGATAGAATATTGATCCACTGAAGATAAATAGTTATAGAACGTACCATTAATCGACAGATCTATTAGAATTCCACAATATTCTTAAATCACCTATTTTAAATACATGCAAAATATTATTTACAGTTAGTTTAATACAATTTGTGTATGCAAAATTGTTACTATAGTGAAAAGACAAAAAAACTTGTTTCTGTTGATGTCACTGATTTACAGGACAACATTGTTTTCTAGTTTCATTGTTCTATCAACTGACAAATTGAAAATTACGCGAAGAGTTCACATTTAGATAACGCCTAAATTAATTTTTTTCAAATAATATTATGTTCAGTGTACTGTAGTTACTTTAAACCTTACCTTTTTTTGATTACATTAGTTCTGAAGTGTTTATTTAGATCAATTTATTAAAATATGTGATAACTTTTATATTAAGTTGAATAAAATGAATTAGAAATGGTGTATATCTCTCAAGTTTAAAAACGTAATAAACATTTCTAAAATCGCTAAATACTGATATTTCCATTAAACAGTTGAATCGCATTCATAGCCATAGTTTTAAAAGATTCTGTGTTGGATAAATAAAGTTGTTTTTGAAACACTAAAAACGCTAATTAACTTTTTATTACCATATAGTATAAATGAGATAGCTTGTTCTTTATTGATCGTGTCTTGTATGATTTCAAAATCTTGAACAGAAGATGAGTAACTGGTAAGTTGGTAATTCTCTGGAGTTTCGAAATTGAATGAAAATTTATAGGCAAATCAACATGCTAGCCAAATATGTAATTTAAGGGGGGGGGAATGGTAAGATCCTTAATAAGCATATGTTAGAATTGTATTCAAAGTATTGGTTTCTAAATTTATAATCTAATCCTCTATCCTACAGTATGATGCAACCAATCTCTTGGATAATTAAAATATTACTCCTTCAGAAATCTAATTTTACAGATCGAACATGCGGCTATTGAACCAACAGTTCGTTGATGATTAGTTCAAATCTAATTAGGATGTTAAGTTACTTGATTCTATTACTTTCATATCCTTGTAAAAGTTCTCTGATCAAGTAAATCAAATTGGCTCACGTAGTAAATCATTTACTAACAATTACTATTTGGTCTTGCATCTCTTACGATTTCTGCTTGGCTGATCTTATTGCATTAGTTATTTATATTTACATCCGTACAAAAAGACGTGATGACTAAAATGTTACAAAAAAATTTACTTTGTCAGTAGTTTTAAACCGGAAAACACTTAACTACTGCTTTATATGGTTTCTGCACATTAAATTACTTCACTGTATGTAAAGTATATTTTATGGAGTATTTCGAAAAAAAGATTAGATTTAACTTGAGTTACTTCTTCCATAAAGGGTGCGGTTCAAAGTTAATTACATCTAGACTTATAATTTAAGGTACAATGCGAAGTTTAAATCGTTTCTAAGCGGATTCTAACCTGAACTTATCCTTCAAGTGGACACTACTAAGAATAAACGTGCAGTATTCTAGGAGTGGTCGAACACATAATCTATATATCAAAATAAGTGAATATCTGTTATTACTTACTACTTACTTACGCCTGTTACTCCTCGTGAAGGAGCATAGGCCGCTCACCAGCATTCTCCATCCAACCCTGTCCTGGGCAATCCTTTCTAGCTCCGTCCAGTTGTAATTCATCCTTTTCATATCTGCTTCTATTATCCGACGCAATGTGTTCTTTGGCCTTCCTCTTTTTCGCTTCCCTTCAGGATTCCAAGTTAGGGCTTGCCTCGTGATGCAGTTTGACGATTTGCGTAATGTATGTCCTATCCATTTCCATCATCTTTTCCTAATTTCTTCTTCAGCTGGAAGTTGGTTTGTTCTCTCCCACAGAAGGCTGTTGCTGATGGTATCCGGCCAATGGATGTTGAGTATCTTGCGTAGACAGCTATTTATAAATACTTGCACCTTCTTGTTGGTGGTTGTTGTAGTTCACCAAGTTTCAGCTCCGTACAGTAGAACTGCCTTGATGTTCGTATTGAAGATTCTCACTTTGATATTGGTTGGAAGTTGTTTTGAGTTCCATATGTTCTTCAATTGTAGGAATGCGACCCTTGCTTTGCCGATCCTCGCCTTTACGTCTGCATCGGATCCTCCTTGTTCATCGATGATGCTTCCCAGGTATGTGAAGGACTCTACATCTTCCAGAGTTTCGCCATCAAGTGTGATTGGATTGCTGTCCTCTGTTTTGAATTTGAGGACCTTAGTTTTCCCTTTGTGTATGCTGAGGCCTACTGATGCAGAGACTGCTGCTACACTGGCTGTCTTTATCTGCATCTGTTCGTGTGTACGTGATAGGATGGCTAGGTCATCTGCGAAGTCCAAATCGTCTAATTGTTTCTGAGCTGTCCATTGTATTCCGTGTTTTCCTTCAGATGTTGAGGTCTTCATAATCCAGTCGACCACCAGAAGAAAGAGGAAGGGAGAGAGTAAACAGCCTTGTCTGACTCCGGTCCTTACTTGAAATGCATCTGTCAGCTGTCCTCCATGCACTACTTTGCACTGTAGTCCGTCGTATGAGTTCCGGATAATATTGACAATCTTCTCAGGAACTCCGTAGTGTCGAAGAAGTTTCCATAATGTCCTCCTATCCACACTGTCAAATGCCTTTTCATAATCAATGAAGTTGATGTATAGTGATGAGGTCCACTCAACTGATTGTTCGACGATGATCCGTAGTGTTGCAATTTGGTCTGCGCAACACCGATCCTTACGGAATCCAGCTTGTTGATCTCGAAGTTGGGCGTCTACTGCATCCTTCATCCGGTTCAGCAACACTCTGTTAAAGACTTTCCCTGGTATTGACAGTAGTGTTATGCCTCTGTAGTTTTCACATTTGCTCAGATCTCCTTTCTTTGGAATCTTGACGAGGTGTCCTTCTTTCCAGTCCATCGGCACTTGTTCCTCCTCCCAAATCTTTTTGAATAGAAGATAAAGCATGCTTGTGGTTGCTTCGATGTCTGATTTCAGTGCTTCAGCTGGTATGTTGTCGGGTCCTGCTGCTTTCCCGTTCTTGATTTGTCTGACGGCCATTCTAATTTCTTCCGTAGTTGGTGGATTGACATCTATAGGAAGATCTATGTGTGCTGCTTCGATGTCCGGTGGATTCATTGGAGCCGGCCTATTCAGGAGTTCCTCGAAGTATTCTACCCATCTGTTTCGCTGTTGTTGAATTTCGGTGATTGGCTTGCCTTCTTTGTCTTTGACCGGTCTCTCTGGTTTACTGTATTTCCCTGCTAGTTTCTTCGTTGTATTGTGAAGCTGTTTCATATTTCCTTCTCTAGCAGCTTTTTCTGCCGTCGTTGCTAGTTCTTCCACGTATTTCTTCTTGTCGGCTCTAATGCTCCTCTTCACTTGTTTGTTTGCTTCTATGTATTCAGCTTGTGCTTGGACTTTCTCTGCTCGTGTTCGGATGTTGTTAACTGCTGCCTTCTTGTTCTTCTTTTCTTTGATCTTGTCCAGTGTTTCCATAGAGATCCATTCCTTATGATGGTATTTCTTTAGACCCAGAACCTCTTGACACGTTGAAGTTAACGCTTCCTTGATGCCTTTCCAGTTGTCCTCCATAGTAGTTTCTTCTTCTTCCAGTAGATCTTGTAAGGCTTGGAACCTGTTGTTGAGAGCTATCTTGAATTCATTGAGTTTGTCAGTATCTCGAAGGAAGGCTGTATTGAACCTTTGTATTGCTGTTTGTCCACTTGTCCAGTTCTTTTTTAGCTTCAGTTTTAGATTGGCTACAACTAGGTGGTGATCTGAAGCTACGTCAGCACCTCTCCTGGTTCTCACATCTTCCATTGTCCTTCGGAAATTTTTGTTGATGCAAATATGATCTATTTGGTTCTCTGTAGTGTGGTCCGGTGAGATCCATGTAGCTTTGTGTATACGCTTGTGTGGAAATATTGTGCCTCCTATGACCAATTTGTTGAATGCACATAGATTTGCAAATCTTTCTCCATTTTCGTTTCTTTCTCCCAGTCCATGTCGTCCCATAATATCTTCATATCCAGTGTTGTCTATTCCAACTTTGGCATTTAGATCTCCCATCAGAATAGTTAGGTCCTTTCTTGGGCATTTCTCAATGATTGATTGCAGCCGCTCGTAGAACTGATCTTTAATTTCGTCGTTGCTATCATTGGTGGGTGCATAACATTGGATAATATTCATTACGATCCCCTCCTTCTTTGTTTTGAATGATGCTTTAATGATTCTGGATCCGTGAGATTCCCATCCTACAAGTGCATTTCGTGCTACTTTGGACAGCATAAGAGCGACTTCCTGAGTGTGTGGAGCATTGTCCTCTTCGTGACCGGAGTATAGCAGCATCTCTCCCGTAGCTAGCCTTTTCTGTCCAGCTTGGGTCCAATGGGTTTCGCTGATTCCCAGTACTGCTAAGTTGTATCTCCTCATTTCCATTGATATTTGACTGGTCTTCTCGGTTTCGCACATTGTTCGAACGTTCCATGTACCTATAAAAATTTTTGCTCTGGTTGTTAGAAGGGGCATCGGCCTCGTGGCTTCCGAAGGAACTCGGCTTTCACCATGAAGCGTCATAATTCTTCTAAATGAAGACCTTCTAACTCCCAGGGCAGAGTTTAAATGGTTTGAATAATTTTTCTGGTAAGCGTTTTTTTAGCGAGTTAGTTTTCTACGGGATGGGGACGCTAACCCCATGCCCAACCCTCCTCCTTTACCCGGGCTTGGGACCGGTAGCAACCCTATAAGAGCTACAGGCGGAGTTAATATCTGTTATAGAGGTTACAAATTATACAACCCATACGATGTCAGGAATTAAAGGCTTGTTTCGAGACGTGCTCTGTGAAGGAAAAATTGTAAGAGTCTTTAGTGGCCCTTAATCTGACTCCGTTTAGACTGCCTAAATGACTGTTAATGAAGTATACATGTCGCCAATCCTCGTATTTGACTTATTTAGTTTACATGTATGTGTGGAAACACGTACATAGGGAGGAGCAATCGTGATTTGCAGTTAAGGGTGGGTGAACACATACCAAAATGGTTGCAGGAACAAATGGATTCCAATGTTCAAATAAAATCTCAGGATAGACATTTAATTGAGACAGGTCATACGGTTGACATCAAATCAGCATTTGTAGTGTTCTACAAAAGCCTTCAAGGACGTATACTAAGGTTTATTGAAGCCTTGGCTATACGGAAGTTGAAACCCCCTTTATGTGTTCAAAAACAATTTGTCCTTACACTTAACCTACCCTGGTAATACTGATTTATTATCCAGAGTGGTATTCACATTTGTTTTTGTGTACTTGAAATTTTTTCCTTTATTATGACTTACCCTTAACCTGTCTAGTTGAACCTCTACTTTTCATATATAAATGTTCTTAACAAGTATATGTGTGATCCGATTGTTCGAAATGTATTGCGCAAATGTATCACATAATTCTGATAAACTACGTCTTCTCATTGCATTATCGAAATTCATTTAATTACGTTATTCTCTAACGCGATCTAAGCATATTATTACACATAGGATTTATGATATGTATATTTCGATAGCAATCATTCGATAACTATCATTCATACCATCTACCTGGAGTCAGATTTAAGGCCACTAAAAGTCCTTAATTCCCAAGTCTACTACTGAATATAACTTAGATAACACCTTATCATTTATGTTAAGATTCAAGTTAAGTGATTTATTACCGAAACGAATCCATCCATATTTAGCCGTGTTAAGCTCTAACTGCTATTTTGAGAACCACTGGGCTACTTTGTTAAGTTCCATACTGGTGCAATTTTGTATGTTGTTCAGCTCATAAATTGAAAGTGAATACACTACTTTAAGATCATCTAAGAGACTTACTTATACTTATATATTCATATCAATAATCCGAAAACTGGCCATGCTTAAGACAAAATATACCGTTTAAGATCATATCATATTGAATCTAAGGTTACTTGCAAAATAAAACAATTTTTTTAGTGTTGAATCAACTAATTTGAATGAGCTCAACCGGGTCTGTTGTGAGATAGTAATTTACTGTAGACAATGGTGGATGTATCGCTCAATTTCCTGGATTAGTTGAAGTTAAACATTAACACCGTTAGATGCCGGCCGGCTCAGTGGTCTAGACGCTAAGTGTTCACGCGCGAGACCGATAGGTCTTGTTTTCGAATCTCGCTCAAGGGATCGTGGATGCACACTGTTGAATAATCTCAAAATAGGACGAAACGGCAGTTCAGTGCTTATAGGTTTTCCATGGTGGTCTATCTTCAATCGAGTCATGATCTCAACTATTAATTTGAATGAGTTTGTGTTTTAAATGAAATCGTAAGTTGAATGATCAGAATGACCATGAAAAGTGTATTGAAATAATTCCTCGTTCATTTATCAATATTTTAATATTGAAAATATATTCAACATACCAGGTAAAAGCTTTTCTCACAATCTCCACACTGTGATTGTGGTAGTTGTATTTGCACCATTTTAACAGGAACCAAAATAATAAAATCAAATAATTCTTTAAACTAAAAGTATTTTAATTAGACCAGTTTGTAGTTGAATACATTTTTTGCAAATGTGATACTAGTATGACATTTGACTAATTTGGTTTTTAATATCAACAACATGTTTACGAGGAGGAAGGACAAATCAATCCATAAAATGTATTGTGGTGTCTTTGCTTTGTTACTCAATCACCCCTGTAACCGTTATAATATATGGTGTTTGAAATCAGAAGGCAATAGGAAGCGTCAACTATAGTTGTAACGGGGTTAAGATCATCATGTATAGTGGTGAGTATCTCCGCCTGTCACGTGGAAGGCTCGGATTTCGAACCCGTTACAAACGATTAGTGCAGATCTCAAAGCTATAAGCACATCAAGCGAATATGTATATTTGAGAAAATACAGAGGCAAATTTATAGTCAAATAGAATAAGGGCACAGCAAGGCAAAACTAAAGCCAATATTAGGATTTGAGTACATATATATACATGGGGAGGAGAATGAATCATCGAGTGATATTTAAGTGATCAACATTTTAACTAGAGTCTGTCATGTAATCTAGTGATCATAACAATACAGATAAATATGCGAATTGTTACTGTTCTAATAACATTATCTGTTAAGTAAGTTAATACAAAGGGTTTAACCAAAATTAACCATAATCAAAATTGGTTGTAAGATAATTGCCATAACATAATGCGTTCTCCTGATGAATATTTCGATCGTTTTTTCATGGATTATACTATATAAATGTTACGTATATATTATTTATCTGTTTACTTTTACAGCAATCATTTTCTTCTGAATATCCTTGGGATAAATTTTTATCTTGGTATTATCAAATAATAAAGTGAGCAATCGTTTACTTATTTTCCTTGTTACCAAATATAATTAAATGATCGATTGATCTTCAAGTATTTCAGAAATACTTTTTTCTCTATAAACCGTCGAAATTTTATAATTTTTAAAACAAAATGATTATCAACTTCATATATTGGTTTTATATAGATATGTAAATATGCTAAATAGTTTTTGATACAACAAAATAATCATGGTTGAAACTTTCTGACCATTGACTTGGTTGGCTCGGTACGTTACGACTTACTTTAAGAAATCCATTCTATGGTTAGTGACAAAACCTTAAAATATTAGTTTTCGAATATTATTGTTTTATATTACTAATTGATTGGTTGCTAACTGTTGTGTGTGAAACTAAAATGGTTTGTTTCGGCCCAACATAAAAGACAATCACTAAAGATATATGGAGACTTATTTAAAATTTAAACAGTAGATTCAAAACATTTTAATACTCATCTTTACATTCAGATTGGATTTACAGACGCTGCTGGTTAGATTTGTATAACTAAGAATATTATATTCCTGAGAATATGAAAGTACAATCCAATGTTATGCTAAACGAATGTCCGAGGTTGTATCCCTTGTTAGGTAGTCAGTACATACAGATGAGAAGTTTCAAAACTAGCAGTTGCTACTAGTTCGAGGTAAAATCCAACGTCAAAGTCAATACTTTTTCACGAACTACCTATCAAAATTATACAACGCTTATAAGTTTAACATGTGAATAAAAGATAAAAAATAGTTATTTATATGGCAAAAAACCAAATGGATATAATCTATGTGTAAGTGTGATCCAGGAACCTAATTCATATTCAAAGGAAAACATATTACTTATATATAGGTAGTCCATGGCATTCAATTATTTTAAAAGATGATTCAAGTTCAGGTGTTACTGTGAAGACGGCCCATGGATGAACTCAAGGAAGCTCTAAGAAGCTCAGAAAGAGCCGAAGATATTCCATCCAATCATCTTTTGGAAGAATATTCCAGAATCTCTACGTGTAGCTTCCCTATTGGAAGAATGCTAAACCCCTCTGTATGCGGATTGGATGACTATAAATGCCTGAGAGTTTTGTACCATATTTGACTCTGTTTGGAATAGCATTCCTTTCACTTGCCTTTTGTCTTCTCATTTGAGACTTAAAGGGTTCTAGCGTTTCAGTGCTCAAGTTATACGCGGTATATTAAAAATCTAAGCTCTAGATATAACACCATCATTTTAACTTCAAATTAGCTGTAAACTATGGATACCATTGTAAAGAAAAATTTGTAAACAGTTTTAGTAGCATACATTTTTCAAGCATTACAGAACAATATAAGCTTATATCATTCTTTATAATTAATGAACTGTTAATATTAATATCTGAATAATTTATATTATATTAAAAATATTTTAGAATGCCTCATTTACTTGTGACAGCTAAACATTTATCATCTCATTGTCAATATCTTTGTAAATTACTTAAAAAATATTGTCCACAATTTGATATGGATGGAGTGCGTAATGTTTGGATTGTAAAACCTGGTGCGAAATCAAGAGGGAGGGGTGAGTTATTGTCGTTGTTTTTCATTTATCTTCTAGTTTTATTGATTAGAAGGTTAGATTGTTCGCGTTATGCAACGAATATACCAGTAACAATTCTCCAACTGTTCGTGATATATAATAACAATATCAAGTGGATGATTAGCTTTTTATGATAAAGCGTTTGTTGTTCAGACAGAAAGAATTATTTTATACGTAACATTCAGGCGAGTATTAGATTTCATGTAGTTTGAAGATATGTTATATCGTGGAGGAATATTCAAATTAGTCTATCCTCGAGAATTCGGTAGAGAGAAAAAAAACGAAAAAGAATGTGGACAACTAAAATGAATTCACATTTGATAACGGAAAGAATAAGTCAAGAAAACATGACATTCGAAACTAGAAGACAATAGAGTACTGTTGCAAATGCGTAACATATAACTTGCTTGAACACATAGTTTGTAATGACCTTGGAAAATATAGGATAAAACTGCATATTTATAGGTAAGATTAGCAATGAAGGAAAATCAAATGTCACTCAAAGCATAGAACACGAATCCCAGACTTATTGTGGACTTTTGACTCATAGTGTAAATTAAAAAGTAGGATTTTTGAAATCTTAGTAATTTGCATAAATAATTGGATGGTGTATCTTATTTAAGATAGATGTTGCTTGTTTGGCGTTTATGATTACATTTACAAGCTCAGTTTTATTACACTAAAATTACTTTTTCTCTTTGAAATCAAACAAAATGTAAATTATAATAGGCCATAGAAATATTTTAAAAATTTAAGTGAAACATATTCAACATTGAAATAATTTGTATTATTTCCGTGAATTCATGCATAATTACGTAATAAAATGAAACTGAATAATTTTTTTACAAAAATGTAAAATTTATTCAATAAAAAACTTGACAATCTCCACAACCACTATACTGATAATTAACATGTGCTCACTAGTGACTAGCTTCATGAGAAAATTCTCGGAGTTCTAGTGAGAAGCCGTGACCAGAGGAGCTAATCCGTGTCGGGTAGAAACAGGTATCTATCTCAGTACAATGGAAGATGGTTGAGCAATTTCGTGGATTGGTTGATGTTAGACACTAACACCATTGGATGCCCGATCAGTAGTTCAGTAGGTTAAGCGTTCGTGCGCGAGACTGAAGGCCCTGGGTTCGAATCTCGTGGGGGGGACGGGATCGTGGATGCGCACTGCTGAGCAGTCCCACAGTAGGATGAAACGGTCATCCATTGCTTCCAGGTTTCCAACGGTGGTCTAACATCAATCGGTTCATGATCTCAATCAAAAACTTAACAACCTCCACAACCACTATATTGGTAAAATTTATTATTCATTTATACAAAATACTTATTATCATATAATCTGGACTATAATCATCACACGTCAATAATTACATAGGAAGTTTATACTAAACCCATTGTTTAATTCATTATTCATATATATTATTGTAGTAAAACAATAGATATTGTTAATGTGGAATAATTATTGATGTTGATCTACCTTTTGTACTTCTTAAAAGGATTTTCCTTTTCACTTTCTTAAAAAAAATTAGTGACTTATCCATTCACGATTACTTACCCCCCCCCGTCCATTAAACTATTTGAGTTTACAGTTTATTTTACTTATTCCTTTCAGGTATTGTTTGTCATGATCGATTAGATGATATTTTAAAAATTGTACAAGGTAGTGTATTTCTTACCGAAGCACGTTATATTGTACAAAAATATATTGAAAGACCATTATTAATATACAGAACAAAATTTGATATTAGACAGTGGTTTCTTGTAACTGATTGGGCACCATTAACTGTTTGGTGGTATCAAGATTGTTATTTAAGATTTTGTTCTCAGGAGTTCACTTTGAATGATTTCAGTGAGTAAGTTTAATTTGTTTATTAAATACATAAATTTGAAAAAAAACCTTTAATATTTATTTATTTCAACCATATAGAAATACTTAATTATGTCAGTCAAGAAAAACTCGCATACCTGTTATTTGATGAAAGTCATGGTCTTTTTTAATAACTCCAAACATATTGAATGTAGTAATAATTTTATATTTTTTTACGAGTAAAGACCTTTATAAAGATGTTTCTTGTAGCGATAACTTAATCAAATGTTCATTGAAACAATCTTCTCACCTTTAGACTGTTATGATCACATATTAGAATACTGTTTAAATTTAGTCGGTGGCGGAAGCCGGCTATTATCGATAGCTCTCATACAAAACAATGTTGTTTATAGTCAAGCTTATGCTTAGTAGATGAGATACAATAGATATTTCAAATTTTAATTTTCCAGAATAGAGAATGTTATGTAGCTTAAAAGCTAAATGATAATGTCATGAGTTGACTAGGAACGGCTAAAATAAACTACATACTCATCAAATCATCGAAAAATCTTTGTAATCTTGACAATAGGCCTTTGATAATTTGGTCATAAGTTCAGATGACACTCTCCACATGTCACCACCATTCGTGAGGGAATTCTCGAAGTTCTGGTGAGAAGCCGTGACTAGTGGGGCTAATCAGTGTCGCGTAGAAACAGTTATCTATCTCAGTACAATGGAAGATGATTACGCAATTTCGTGGGTTGGTTGATGCTAGACACTAGCACCACTGGATGGCGGATCAGGGGTTTAGTAGGTTAAGCATTCGCGCTCGAGACTGAAGGCCCTGGGTTCGAATCTCGTGGATGGAGGCGGGATCGTGGATGCGCACTTATGAGGACTGTGCTTCCAGGTTTCCAACGGTGGTCTAACATCAATTGGTTCATGATCTCAACCGTTAATGGTAGTTGTAACAATAATGGTAATAATTTTCAAATGCTTCTCTAAAAATTAATATTTTGCCTGACTGAGTTTAATGGGTGTATTTTTAGTTATCTTCAACCCAATCGTTCAATCATTTTATTATTAAGCACTTAATTTCAGTCCTAGGCTGTTTTGCTTATGTTTCAATCAGTGTCTCAGAACTTTCTTCTTTTCCATATAACAGTTGCATAGAATATTTTATTTGTTCTTCGTATTACGTATGTTCATCCACCGCCACCCTCAACACATGATGTCTGCTTGTTCGGAGATGGGTTTAAAGAAAGCTAGGGACAGCTAACCGAAAACGTATTGTCAGTACATGAAAACATTGACTGTTGTATTGAGCCATGTTGGTTGTTACAGACTACGTGATTGGGGTTTGTGCAGTCATTGTAACCGATGTTTAAAGAAATTGGTTGACATGGTTCGGAATCAATAACATTGGCTTAATTGCAACCACTCTTTGTTAAACCTCAGATCATGAGTTCTAGAATTATTTTGAACCTTTTGTCCGAGAATTCATCCGTACTTCTAATATCACTAGTACTGTTACTACTTCCACTATGTCATTTATTTTGAAACGTTTATCTCAGTGTGGAAACTTGAACCGATGCACACATGTGCTAGATTCTACGTTTCTGGTATCTGACTCTTAGTAGCTTTATTTGAATCTCTTCTAAATCATTCCGATATATGTCCATATTAACTTTTAACCATATTTTTATAAGTATTTTAAATTTTATCAGTAATTTTGACAATAAAATATTATCAAGTTGTAATTAACAAGTGATAATGTGACAAAATAAAGAAATCCGTGTTATTCAGCTCAAACAATCGCTCTACATTATTTTCGAGTTTACTGGAGGAAACTATATATGCAAGTTGGTAGTTGGAGGTAATTGATAGTAAATTCTATAGGACTAAGGTATATTTACGATTGATTGATCCCTGAGTAGTGACTAATGTCATGTATATAACGTCTCAGATTGTGAAGTTGGGTGGTACATGATTGAATCTACGAGGGAACCCCAAATTCCTCAAGATTACAGGTAAATCTTGCTGATGGGTTTCATATAAATGGAAACCTACGTCAGATGTTTCCTGAAGACTACCCACAACCACAATTTTGTATCTCAATATAGTGAACTGGATGTCAGGTCACTCAGACCAGTGGTCACAATGTAACTTGATCAGTAGGATTCGATTAGCACCAATGAAGTACTTGTCATGTATGATACTTGTTAGTGATTGGTAAATTGTAGAAACTACGTATTAGATAAAAAAACAAGTCATTAGAACTCCTACTATTTTCAATATTTAACCAAATGTTACTTAATAATTTTTTTCATCACCCGTTTGATTTGCTTCACATCTTTCTTTCTTCTGTTTAAAGATCAATACATCTTTGTAACAATTGTATACAACATAAATATAAAAATGGACTTAGATCATTGAAATTACCAGATGAAAATATGTGGACCTGGGAACAATTTCAAACTTGGCTAACGTGAGTTGTAAACTAAACATTAATATATAAGTTCCATTCCTAACACGACGGAAAGGACTCATAGTTCAGAAGAATGGTTTCTTTGGTGAAGTTACTATCTCTGAGCTCAGTAGTTTAACTGTAAAACTCTCAGTATTTATTTAATGTTGGAAGAACAAATTATTATTCACCTATGAATAAATTGTAGTGGCTTGTTTCTACCTAACGTATTGTGCTAATGATGATGTCTAGGAAGATGATGAAAGCTTTGCAATCAAACCCCCGTGTTCAAAAAACTCAAATCCGCTAAGAAAAATTTAGTTTTATTCTATATCAATGTTAAGTTTTTTACAAATGATTTATGAAGTTAATTCCAATTTATTAATCATATTAAAAAGTTCGTATTCATCTGTATATTTTACGATTTACTGTATTGTAAATATTTAGTGAATGACGTTACAAGTGGGGGACAGTCGAATATATTAGAAAACAAAATTACATCACGTCTTAGTAAAATCTGAGAACCATACAGTGAATACTTTATTTGCAAAATGTCAGTCAGTCGTCTCAGACTTCATTGTTACTGCATTCTCATACCAATTACTTTCTGTTCTCCTTCTTTCCTTCTCGACAATCTTCTGTCAGACATACTAATTCTAACTATCACTACATACTACTCATGTCGATATAAGTAGCACACATCACAAGTAGATGATGGGTAAAACCGATCTCATTTTAATTATTAACTTTTGTTAAATAAATTTTAAATCAATAAAATTACTTTGCCGCACAAGTAGGGAGGAGAGTTGATTGGTATGATAATTTCATCAAATGAGTGAAGTTAAAACATTATAACCATTGAATTCAAACTTGATCATATAATAATGAATGAAAAGTTGATCAACGAGACATAATAAGTGTTAATGTTTACTTAAGGATTGATCGTTCTTTTATGCTCGTTTAGACGTAAGTAGAATTTGATTTCTTTGTAGTGATTTAATTGTTTGCGCATAGTCATGTTACTTATTAACCCCTTTAACTGAATATCAATGCTATTTCTGTGGTCGAACATCTAATCCTGTGTACAATCATGTGAGGGTTCGAACTAGAATGGTATATTTCTTCATTCCATCATAGATCTTCACTTATCATCAGCCCATGATAAATTTGCACATTTCAATTATACAAATATCTAAAATACCGTATTAGAGGACTATACAATTTAATTTATTGAAATTCTATATATCATATATTATGTTCAGTTTGTTATGGAAGAGATTTGTAACCAAGACTCAAATTGAAGCTTGATGAAATTTTAATCTATATATTTCATTGAATGTAGACTGATTGATTTATTAATTAATCTATTCATCTCAAACAAATTTATAAGATCCAGATCAAAATTTACTTAAATTAAGTTTATCTCTGTATTATTTCATAAGATTTCATTGTTCATTTTATTTATTGGTAGTTGAAGAAATCAGTTTTAACAAGTTTTAAGCATGTATCAATCTATAATTCAGTCTCTTTATCTCACAAGAGGTAATTTAAAGATATTATATTATACTTATGATTGATAACTAGGCTTCTTTTTATTTTACTTCAAACGATCCATTAAAATTAATTATTCGTTACAGTTCTTTATCTAAGTTAGATAGTTTAACTATTGAGATTTCATTGAGACTACTTTATGCAAGCGCTGAATATGTTATTGTTATGAATTTAAGTTGTGGTCGATTTTTACCCTGTGTTATCGATCGATTACAGTGACACGTAAACACGAACGGACGGCCTAGAGTCTCGATTGGTCTCGCTTCCCTGTCTAGCCCAGTTAGTTGAGTCCAGAACACAAGCCACAGCCTCGGAGATATGAATCATTATATTTCAAACATACTTTGTTTATATACCAATCAAGCATACCACATCGTACCATAAAATAGAAAACAACATTTTGTACAATATTCAACAAGTGAACAGATATCGACCAATAGGAAATGTCCATTTAAAGTCCAAGGACACCATTGGACTTAACATGATAATTATTGGTCTATTCCTCCGCATCCACAACAGTTATCTAGAAGAATAATGAAATCCAAACTCAGAGAATTTAACGCCATTAAAATCATTCATTAGAGTTATAAATTTTCTGTATCATTTCAATAATTATTTATTTATTCATGATTATACTAAATACAGTGAACAAGGTCAACCAAATTTATGGACAGAGAAAATTCAACCAGCAATGAAAAATGCTGTTCTAAATGTACTTTTATCTTCACAAGAATCTATCGAACCTAGAAAAGTATGTAATTGATTGTTTATTATTTAATTTCAAGTTTAAAACATTGAGATTTACATTCATCTTATATTAAAATAACAATTAAAATTTAGAAATTAACAGATAGTCTCTTTAAACTATTTTCTATAACAGTATTTTATTCTATTTCTCTTGGTTATTATGCATGAATACCTTAAATTATCTAAAATACATATCATTCTCTAAATTACCTAACATTAAACTAAACTATTGAAGGTATCCATATCATGATTGAACTTGATAGTTTTAAGTAAATTGGGTAAAGAGTTGTTATATCTCAATGAGTAGAAAAATTGTATTTCTGATGTTTCGTGACTTAATGTAAGCCACTTCTTCAGAGTATACTTTTCCACTATTTCTATTATTTATTATTAAACTATTGAAGTTTATTAAGTTTACTACTTATTTTAATGTACAGTATTATTTGTTAAAAAAAAAACAGGTTGTAAAACTTCATTAGGTGATCATCTCAAAATATAATATCGAATTATGATACAAGAATCTTGAACTATATAACTAAAATGAATTAAAAACCTGATCAAAATTATTTTGAAACAGTTTAAGTATGGATTCTATAATAACTAAGTATTATTTTTTGATTGTCCAGATGCTTAATCCCTAAATATGATTCTAAATAAGAAATAATATGACAATATCTTTTCTAGTTCTGAGTTCCTTTAAAGCTTGTTGTTCTTCTGAAGTTAGTCGGTTGTTGTCTTTCATTCGGTGAGTTGGCGGTACTATAATTTGTTTTATTTCTTGTCGCGTCTCTTCACTTATTCCGAACGTTTTGAGTAATGGCTCTAGTGCTGTGAAGATTTCCAGTTTTGAGCCGTTACTGGTATTGTAGTTTAATAATTTTCGGAGTAGGTGTTCTTCAATGTTTGTTAGTGTTTACTTCGACAAGTAGACCACATAGTTGTTTATGTTTTCTTTCATGAGTGGTTTTGAGATCTTGGTTAGTTTCTTCTTCAAAGTGTTTCTTCTTTGTTCTCTATGTTGTTTGCATGATATATCGATGGCTGTTGTCAAGATTTACAAATGTTCTGACGTCAGTATCCTTTGTAGCTTCATCTTTTGGTCCTCTATGACGTGTTGGCATCTGTGGATCCTGTAATGTGCATCAGTTATCATTAGGTGTACCATTTTTCTTTCACTTTGGTCAGCTATTCTCCATCCCATTGGACAGTTGACTGGAGGTCTGTATCTTACACTTGTTGTTAGAACATGCTGACGAAGACACTCGTAGAGAAAATACGATTGCTCTCGAGAGGAAACCTGCCGTTTGGTAGAATTCTCCCATTTTCGAACAACAAGAAACGTACTACGCTCATACGATTTTGAGGTGGCGGAGATTTGTAGCTCAGGTGAATGATTTTGATAGAGTTCTGTTCTCTGAGCTGGATGGTTTGGTCGTGGAGCTTCTACCTGAAGTTTGTGCTGATGATATAGTTCAGAAGAACGATGAAAGCTCCATGACCAAAACTCCATCAATGAAAAATAATCTATTGATGATATCCCGATGAGTAAAAAGATTAAGTTTTTTAATTTTCTAGCGTTTCGTAACTCAGTACAAGCTACTTCTTCAGAGAATAAGTTTTTGAGAAACTACGATTCATTATCTCGTGTAATTTTTCCCCTTCCAATTACACTTCTTTGCTTATTTTGACATTTTAATTTACCTTTATCATATAACGTTCATTTTTTTAATAATCCACTCAGTAGTTTCTGATAATTAACTAAATACAATTGAAGTAGATTCTGATTAGGATTTTTCTTTAAAATAAATTAAATCTCAGTCTCACAAATATAAAATAGTTCATCTTTTTGTAGTTTGTCAATGAATATCTTCCAAATAATTAATTATTCAATAATATTAATTAATTTAAACGGATATCATCTGGTGAATCATTGAAAATCAAGAACTAATAAATAGTTATAACAACCTTACTTTTGAGATCCTTAAAGCCGCTTACGGACATCTCTCTATAGAAATAAACCTATAAATTTTAAATATTATGTAGTGCACTATTTATAAATTTATTTGTAATCAAATTGAGTTAGTTATTGTTGGAAAGGTCCAGAAAATTCCTCAAAGGAAAAAGACAAAAAAGGTTCTGAAAACTCTGAGAAACATCTTATCTAATTAGCATTCAATAGAAGTTTTGCCAGAAACATCTAGAAAGTGACAAGTCATATGTCGCGTTTCTGATTGAATGATTATCTATACTGTTGTAGTGAAGAAGAACACAGGTGAGGACAACCGAATTATATTTAGCACAACATTACAGAGTTACTTGATGAAACAGAAAAAATATCCTATAATACCTAATTTGAAAAATGGTTAGTAATTGTTTCGGACTTTATTGTTCTTGCATTTCTATACTAATTGCTTTCTATTCCCGTTCTTCCTTTCTTGATCTTCCCAATCTTCTGCTTTCAGACATTACATTCCTGACTCGCGTTATATACTACTTATGTCCATATAAGTAGCACGCACCACACTGTTACTATGTTTAGTAGCATTCCAGAAATTTCCGGAACCCCAAGGCCAACTAAAATACTACAAATACCCTAAATTTTCTATACATAAACAAATCTTTGGAGTAAAGCGTTTCTTTCATATTTCATACCTTTTCTCTCGTGTTCAAGTTGTTATGTAGACTTAGCCTGCGAGTTACTAGAAGAGCTTGAGAAATCGAATCTAGTATTCAATTAAAAGATTTAATATTTAAAAATAAATATTAATATGTAGTTTATGCTTATTTAGTTGACATTTTGAATTTAATATTGTTGCATATTGTTTAATTATTTATAATAAATTATCGTTTTTTGTTGTTGTTATTGTTTTAAACAATAAAAAAAACTCAATATCATATTAATGGACTTATAAGGTCATTTTTATTCATTAATTAATTAGTGTTTATATTTGTTTGCTTGTTTGTTTCTCTCTCAAAATTCACTACTCATTATACCGATTAATAACTCCTTCTGATAATAATAATAATAATTAATTAATTAATTAATAGGCAAATTAAATGTAATTCATTTTATTAGTTATTTTAATTCCTTTTTTTCTTTTATTATAATTAAAATAGTGAAAGAATTATTTAATGTTTATTTGTATATCATTAATTTAATATGTTACCATGGTTACAATAAGGTTAGTTGATTCGAGTAAAATTTAGTGTTATTCATATTTAAATGATATTCTGACCTAATGTTATAAACAATTTTGTTAATGTAATTTTTTAAAGTACAACTCCGGTTTTAAGCTTTAGTGTTATCTTTTTGGTTGAATCAAAGTATAGGGAACATAGTCTTCAAGTAACAATCTATTTAGTGAAGATGAGGTAAAGCAAGTGTCTATAAGGACTCAGTAGCTAAGTGGATAATGCGATGGCGTTTGAAGCGAACGTTACTGCGTTCGAGTGCCAGAGTGGACATCAACTTTGAGATGCAGGTACATCCGGCTGACGAGTCCTAAATAGGGCGAAACGCGTGTCCTGGATTCCACTGTTAGTCATTATCCATCTTTGCTTATAAAACTTGTGACTTCAGGCAATATCGAGGCAGTCCGCACAGTATGGACATATACCAACAAGAAACTGATCAACTGCAGTCCTAAATAACAATGGGAAGATACAAGTAAACGACACCAAGTGAATCTATTTAATGTTTGACAGACTTACTAATGATAAATAATTATAAATATATAAGAAATATATATATATATAAGTTTATTTCATTTATTTCGTTTGTCTACTTATAGCTAATATAAATTAGCGCATGGTATAACTCTTCAGAGTAATGTAATTAAATGTGTGGATTATGTCAGAAATGAATTCTTTAGGTTGGGAGTTGACAAAACATATAGCTGGATATATGTGACGGACATTTTGCCTGCACTACAGATGGTGCATCTTAAGAAAAACCAAGTTAGCCAATGTATCCATGCCAAGGTTTTATAAGGTGCGCATTCAGTCAACACGCTCATATATGCTTCCCCATATGGATGAAGACTGATAAGGACATAGTTTAGCAAAATAATCCATGTTTATGGTTTTTAGCAATTATTTTCTTCTTGTGAATAACTATTAATAACTGAATGACCTTTATCAACAAAATATTTGTTCGTAACATATTTTACACGTCTATCTCCAATTTACTTTACAATTATCCTACTGAATAAATGATTTCTTATAAGTTTTATTAGCTTATTTAAGTATTTTACCAGGTAAACACACCACGCTCATACAGAAATTATTTTTTTGGAATCTAAACCAAATCTTTAGGATAAAATGAGTGTATTCGATTTCTTACAGCGTTTTATATTTTACTAGTGAAATTGATGTACGTTCTAGCTTGTTGAAAATTTATGTTGTCATCAATGCTTCGTTTTAACACATGAAGTCAATAAGTCTAGTGCAAACATCTTTTTAGTGGGTTCATGAATGTTGAATATAATTTTATAACTAGTGGGATCATCGAGACTTTTACTCTCAGGAACATAAATGAAGAGTATATATTTGAATGTTAGGTGGCTAGAAGCAATCAGTCAGTGATAGTCAACTTGGGTTTCATGTTATTTAAGAATGTTAGGTGGTCAGAGGTAGTCAAGACGAAAACTTGGGCTTATGTATCGTTCCAGTCGCCATTAATCTACAAGGTCTAGCTGCAACCTTTAGGGAGCTGATGCTTCCTCGTGAATCCGGACCCAAGTCACCCAGCTGGGATACTTCCATTAGACTATTCGAGATCCAACTGATATCCTTCCGATTATCTCTAACTACCTAACATTTCAACATAGTGCAAACAAAGTTAAGTTCCGCAGACGAGTGTCCACATTGCAAGTTGGTGGATAGTATTTATTCAATACTGAAGGACTAGATGAGTATGACGTAGGTCACTACTCAGTTACCAATCAATTGTAAATGAGAATTCTAAGAAAGATATATCTATATTCTCAAGGGTAATGGCTTCGCACAGCATATCACTTGCAGCATGAATAACTCAGGAGTATCATCTCTAATCGTGACTTTGTATGAAATGGGTTTGAATTTCATAATGAATGTCAACTGATGTAGTGAGCCACTCAGAAGTAGAAAAATGAGGTCACTTGATGACAGTCAGAAGTGACCTGAGGGACACCTGCATATCATTAGCTAAGAAGTTGATTGATTTTTAAAGGATATATATATGTATATATATGAGTATTTGAGCACATTACTTGGTAGCCCAATAGACTTCCTCTTACCTTTTTATCTTCTCGTTCAAGTGGTTAGTTAGGGAGGGACTAGTGAGTATCAGGTTATGTATCAACATCAGATCTTGGACACTTCACATCATATCAACTCCCTAAATAATGTAGATAAATCATTTTTAACGAATACCAGCTAGCTGGAAACTTAGATATATGGCCCCCTGTCAATTGTCACCAATGATCTAACTTCAAAGTAAGTGTAATTAAGTCTGTGAAATTTCAACTAACACTGAAGACTAGTTAACATTACATAAGTCACTACTAAGTCGAAATAATCAGTTTATCATAATTTTAATATCACAACAACTTGTTCTTCTTAGTATCATTGTCCGTTTTTGTTGATTTTTTCAATATTTTAATATTTTAGAATTGTTTTGGTCTATATGGAGCAGATTTCCTGTTAACTGACAATGATTACAGAATATGGCTTATTGAAATTAATTCAAGTCCATGTATGTCACCGAGTACATCTGTTACAGCTGTATACACTGCTAGTGTATTAGAAGATACTTTGAAAGGTAATTTATGCCTGCTTTTTCTTTATTCTTCTATTTTGTTTGATAAATTAGAATAAATAATCCATAGAGGAATCAAGTCTTTATGATTGACAAATTCTTTCTTTATTTTTTACAGAATTATTTTTATTAAAACTACGTTAAGTACGAAGAAGTCCATAAATTCCATGTAAAGCCCCATCGAAAAATGAATCCTATTGCAAATCAAATTACTTCAAATAATGTTTGCTTGACTTAATGAAACACTAAATATTCAACTTATCCCATACGTACCAGGTAGTCAGATAGTTATATATAACTTGAATAGCATTTTCACAAACTGGAAATTTTTGAAATTTAAGGATAAGATTAAAAAAACGATTAATAAACCTTTTTTGTCTTCGAATTAGGTGAATACAATGAGAATGAAAATAACTGTGAGAATTATGTCATCAGTCTAGATCTCTTAAATGCATTAAGTTAGCAGTTCGAAATTTAAGTTTTTAAACAAGCCTTAAAATATTTGTATGACACATCATGGCTTAGGTTATCCTCAATGTTCTCAATGTTTATTAAGTATGTTATTGACTGGTACTTTCGTCTACTTTTCAGTTCACTAAATTGGCGATTACTGCATTTTCAAGAGTAATTTTCATGAATGATTTTCTTTTAAGCATCTGAAGGTATCCACAACTGTCCGCTATGAATATATTCAGTGTAGTACAGCCCCGTATAGCTGACTAAAAACAAAAATACAGTAAAACGTCCGGGGTTGAAATGAATTTTTTTACCAAAAATATTCTCTAAAATGTAGCACTCATCCACTAAATGATTGGAAAGAAGATGAAATTATTGGGTACAACTCAGTAGACATTGAAGACGTTGTATATAACTTCAGCTCACATCAAAACTAGTTTACATCCGATCCAACAGATCATTAAATGATACGTTCTGATTGATGAGGAAAAAATTATTATTATGATCTCCAACGGTATTATTAAAATCACTTCCTTTTCAGTTCTTGATGAATCACTAGATGAACTGAAACATTTCATTTTCAGTCAAATTCCCCGCCTATTTTCTCATTATTTTTTCTACTATATTACTGAATGATATGATAATTTCTAGCTTCTTTTAATCTCATTCAATATCTTCGCTTAAATATTGGCTTTCTTAGTTATCTTTATTGATTTATGATGACGATGTTTACAAAGTGTTCAGGTATGTTTACCACTCAGCTACAGAAATTAAGAAGTGAAAACATTGAGATCAAGTGTTGTTAAAGGTGTATAGAAGATTACAGATTCCCACTTGATTGCACCGTAAAAAGATATTTCATCTTAAGGTACCTTGAAACGGAAGTGGATTAGTGGTGATCTTATTGACTTATTCATGTGACTGTAGAGTCTAAAGAGAAGTTGATTGATGCTGTTAGCTCACGGCCTTTTGTGAGCAATTTTTCGAAGTATAAACTCTATACTTTTCAAACCTTTCTATCGGTACTGGAAATTCTTGTGAGAACGTAATGGTGATTATTCTAAACACACATCCTTTTAGCTTTTTATAGGGAGTATCGCTGTAGATGTTAGTTATTTGCGGGAAATATCTCATCACTACCGCATACTAGTACAGATGGCAGTAAAACCTCGCCCTCGGACCTTAAATTACCTACTTTTGATTTTAATACTCTTCATGCAACTTCTCTGGTTAAGCTAAGCCTAACTAAACAAACTTTTTAGAGAATATAGTTCGATTAGATTCCCATGGCAGACTATCCTAACCACCGCGTCAACGTGGTAATTCACAGTACTTTTGTAACCATAAAGTGTATTCGTACTAAAAATATAAAACAAATTAGTGTTACTTACGTCGAAATTTTCACTAGGTTTTGTAAAATTTTGAGCTTTCACCAGTATTTACTAACTTATTATCATTAGCTTAAAAATAGAAGTCGTTTACAAGATAATAGCGTATACTATTACCATGATCTTAAGTGTTCTACTGACCTGAACTTCATTTAGTAAGCCATTTAACAAACACAAGAATACCTTGACATCACCCCTCCTAGTTTTAATCGAATATCAATCATGTTCTCTATTAATGATAACTAAACCTCTATAATTTGATAATAGTCTTTAAAACTGATTACAAACTAGTAGCATGTAGAAAAATACAGTGACCATCTTGTGTTATATATCTTTTACTAGTTTCACATAACAATTACGTGAAGTCAATTGATTTGATTTTCTCATCGAACAAATTAGTAAATATCCTCTCTGACTGTTAATTATTAGATTCTTATCGCTTTAAAACTTCATTCATTGAAATATCGTAACTATTTATGTAACACTTGATTTGGATGTCTATTAACTAATAATGTAACAGTTCATGTATGATATTTAATACTGGGCCACCGAAATTATTGCACTACTTATGTTTTAAGGTTTGAATTTTCTCGTTATCGATATTACGGACCTTTCTAATTGATCAATATTTATTTGCATGTATGCACCCTGAGAGAATTTCTTAATTAAGGCCTTTAGTCAGGGTTTCTAGCATATATGGATTGTAGCTAACAGTGGAATCCAAGATGCTTCTCTCTTTAGTACTATCTATATCATCCATGAAGACTACTTCTTTCAGTTCTTTAGATTGAGGAAAAATAATTGACACCTGTTTTATGAAGTAATTCACTTTAAAATAGTTGATTCGTCTTCTGAACAGTTGAACAAATAAATTTTACTATAGAGTGAGCATAGAAAGGGACTGAGGTTTTACTATAGCATTCTCTTTGGGGCTGTACTCCTGAATTAATTAAGTTTTTTTAGTTATGTTTTGAAAAACCACTATGTTGAACACATTGAACTAATCAAATTATATTTTCTTATTATTTTATTTTGACCAGTTGTTTTAGATAGAAAATACAATCGTAACTCGGATGTTGGACGTTTTGAATTACTGTATAGACAACCGTTTCATAATCCATCTAATATGTACACTGGTATGGAACTTTATGTAATTGGATCGAAAATAAGTAAACCACAGTTGGAAAATACAACTATTCTACGTTGTTTTAATAAAGCGACACTTGATTTCAGTGGTCAGTCATTATCAAATCCAGAAGTGAATGTTATGTCAAAAATTGTTAGAGATAAGAAGAATATGGTCCTGTTAGTTCATAAGTGAAGTTGTGATAAGTTTATTTATTTACTTAACTGGATTATTTGACACTAATTGATCTCTAAATAATATCACAATGGGGTTCGTGGAGATTATAGTAATTTTAATTATTGAATTCATGAGTCAATCTAAGATAGACAACCATTGGAAACCTGGAAGCACTGGACAGTAGTTTCGTCCTAATATGGGACTCCTCAGCAGTGCGCATCCACGATCCCGCTCGTGGGGTTCGAATCCAGGACCTTCTGTCTCGCGCGCGAACGCTTAACTTTCAGACCACTGGGCTGGCATCCAATGGTATTAATATCTAACTTCAATAGATCCATGATCTTGAGTAACCCATCATTCATTGTCTGAGGTAGGTAACTGTCTCACACCCGACACGGATTGGACTTCACTTGTCACAGCTTCTCACTGGAACTCCAGGAAATCCGTCTTAAAGCTAGTCACTAGCGAGCACATGATTATTGCTAGAATGAGGATCGACTCCTTAACTCAACTATTAAAATTACTACGATCTCCACAACTCCACATTTTAATAAATTCAAATTGACGACATGTCTGTAAGGCATTAGTAGGAAAAATTGCACTAAGATTTTATTTTAAAACCATTACAACTTGTAGAATAGACAAAATCACATTGTTATAGTGTGTTGTATTATCGGTTACCAAGCATTTTCGGGAGAGGTCCTTTAATACAGAAAATGAATGGCTTTCAGATAAGTAGAAAAATACAAACATATTGAATGACTCAGTTATGACGTTTGATCCTAACTGCAAATGTATATAACTGGGTGAGCATGATAGTCCTTTCGATTTAAGAATATAGCAAACAATCTCTTCCTTAGTTTAAAAGGGAATATTGTTCACCAACCTGTTGATTGTTATTGAAGATTGCTTCTGTCGAGTATTATTATGAAGACAGGATAAAGAATGTTCATTTTATTGAGCTGTAAAGTTAAGCATTAAACAAACACATTTTATCATGTCTTATCATACATATATAAAATCTCAGTGTGAAGTCCCAGTTGTATAAAGCCGTGATATGGACTATCAACAAATGAAAGATACATGTTGATGGCCTGCTTATCGCGACCTTAAACCAGCAAGACACATATAATAATGAATCTAAAACACATAACGTGCCAGAAAATTGTCGATATTTAAATACACCTAGCTAGTTTATGTAAAGTTTAATCGATAAACGAACCCAGCAATGACAGAATTAAACACCCATCACCACACTGACTCTCTTTAACCTTGTTTGACTATGTCATGTTCATGCACCAATCATAATCTTTCATATCTTTCGTAAACGGTATTAGGTTTGTTGACTCATTTTTCCTGTCTTCCAGTTACTGCTCGGTAATTGATTTATGTCGCTCATTCCCCCTGTCTAGTAGACTTAATAATTGTAATTTTTTGTATACTAACGATGTTAATTTACGTTTTAGAAACAGATAAAGTTTATCGAGCAAAATAACTTACTTGTTCTAATTTTGGCTAAGACTGTGTTTGACAGTCTTGGGATCATTTTGTAATCACGTCTGTAGAAAATCACTTTCTACACCTTGAAATCCTGAATTGAATATACTGTACCATCTGCATATACTCCTTTCTCCAAGTCTACCACCTCTTTACCAGTTACTTTTAAACTATACTACTCACAAAATATAAATAGTTTAATTTTATTAGCTGAATAATCGTTTACATTTTGTTTTGATTGATATTCTGGAAGGCAAATGAAATCACAAACACGAAAAGAAATTAAGCCATCGAACATAAGTCATGAGTATGCATGCACGATGGAAATGGTTAAAGGAATGAACAGTTTATTACCACCTATGAAGTGTGGAAAATTTTCAACTGATAATCAGTCAACTGTGAACATTAATACTGATAATCCAGTCAAACATTTACAATCAGTAAAGGAAACAAGAAAAGATTCACGATCAAAATCTTGCAAATATGAAAATAAAATGAAAATTTGCAATGTTCCTACTGTTTCAAATGCTGTAAAAACTATTGGGTCTTTGACTGGCTTGGAGTCTGGTATTTGTCTATCAAAATACAACGATGATATTTCACATGATGACAATCTTTTAAAATCAAGCCGATCGGAGTATTGTCTAAAATCATCTCTAGAAGAATTAGTTAAATCGAGATCACTCATAAATTCCCCTGGTATTTCAAATGTTAAAGATTCCTCTACGTCCAACTTGAATCAATCGAAGCTACAACAAGTGAATAAAGGTGAGCTGAATCAGTATACTGAATATGAAACATACAATAATACAAATCTATATTCTTCTCACAAAAGTATACATGGTAAAAATAAAAATTCACAGCCATCGTCATTATTATTACCTAAAATAGATAAAGGTCGAAATCCAGATTCTAGTATAAAACTAGTTAGTTTGAATTTAAATCGACCGAGATCATTGAATAAAATAGAAAGATTATCATTAAAACTTGAACATCGAAACAAAAAGTTGAATGTTAACACAATACATGATACAACTTCATATAATTTCAATTCAACACAAACTAATTCACTTAGATATTTACATGAAAAGAAACTATCCAAAGGACAATTACATTTTGAAGAGATTATAACAAACAATGATAAGCAACTGATTAATAGACCAAATAAATTGCCAACAATTGTTAAAATCAAACCTGAATCTTCACATCAATCATTAACTAGTCAGTCTACACTTACTATAGATCAACTAGATACAAATTATGTGCAGAAAATGCCTACTTATAAAAATTATGTTGATAAAATCAAATTGAACATTTTACAATTTAATGAAGGAGACAGTCATGTGAAGCATATTAATCATGAAAAATCAAATCATAATAAGCTGTATAAACATTTACAGAAAAGATGTATCATTCTGCGTAAAATGAAAAAAATTAGAAAGTCACCAGCAGTACGAAGAAAAGTATCAACTTGTCAATCACAGTCAAAACTTTCTAAAGTCTTAATAGTAAATCAAAGATCAGCAGATTTAACTATGAATGATAATTCTTCAATGAATTTAGATGAAGTTTACAAATGCCGAAAATTAAAGGACAGTAGTGATAATAATACTACTGATGATAAGAATACTGATAGTAATAATAAACTCAATGCTAGTAACTGTGATTCCGGAATTAATTCTGGTGACAGTATCACTGTGGATAGTAATGATCCAAATAAAACCTCAAAGATTATTACCTCTTCACCAAAATCCTCCCTGAAGCAAAGTTCCACAGATTCAGGATTTGATGATGAGATATCAACTCAATCGAAAACCTTTTTACCACTAGATAATTTTTCGGCAGTTATTGCTAACAGGAATAATAGTGATAATAAAGCGATATCTAATGATATTTCACTTTGTAGGTTTATTCATTCTAGTAAAATGTTCGTTAATTGTCGTAACACAGATGATACAAAATTCTACAGGTATAATATTAATGATAAATTTAATCTGAAATTCCTTTCTCGGATAACAAACGATTAATGAATTGAAAGTAACATGCTGATCGGTTTATTGCAGTCTAGTGATGATCCATACTTAATTGTCATCTTATCTCATTTTCTTTCTGTTCTGAATTGATTAATTACTTTTATTCTCAGTTGTCTACAAAGTTTTAACTTCATTCACTATTGTGAAATCCTTAGTTTACTGTGATAACCTTCAACTTTAGGATGAATTATTAAACGATTGTTTTGACTGATATATATTTTTCACGAACCGTTTAAACTTACATCTTGTCATTTTATTTTAAGTGCTCCACAAGTATTTCTCCAATGAATATGTAAATCATTTAGACTTATTTTTCATTTATCAGATATTTTACTTGTTTCACAAATCGATAAATTGATTGAAAATCGGGAATGATGAAACGTTTTTTTAGCTGAATTTAACTGGGTATTTTAGTTATTACCATTATGTTGCAAATAGACATTATTCACAAGTATTGACATTTTCAGTTTGGACCAATAGACGTTGACGGAACAGTTATTTATGCTACGTAGGTATCTCTTCGCTTTTTCATTAAGGAATGGTACATTTTGTTCTATAGGAGTTTTAGCCCTGACTAATCTATTTTACACAAAAATGTCCGAATTTGTTTAATATTCCAAACTCCCAGGGTGAGAAAGACAAAGTGGATCCTGTATGTAGATAGGATTTCTGGGGATATTGATCAATCAGTTTAATAGCAGATTAGATTAATTAACCTACTACTAAATGAGCATAATCTAATCCCCTACTCTCCAATCGACATTAGAATCTAGATTATTAACTTCATGACGAAAAACATTTTATCTTTTTTTGCAGCTACATGTACTTGACATGCATTGTTAATGGGTTTACTATTGAAATTATTGTGAAAAAAACGTCAAATCAGTTAGCAAAGACAAGTCTCTTCGCGTATAAAGTTAATTCCTAACCATAAAATTCATTATATCTACATATATTTACTTCTTAAAAATCCTTAAGGATATTTTGTGTGTGTACCATATTGAAACTGACGATACTGACCAATCAGTATCTATAAGGGAGGCTCTAGCATCGAATACCAAATATTTCGTAATCTTACAATAGATAGACCTCAAATGAGGAACTAACCTGAAATTCTCTAAACAATATGAAAGGTGCCTACCTAATACAGTGAAAAATAATCGAGTGATATCGCTGACTTGAGAGCGAATGGATTTTGGTTCAGTTGTCTAAAGGTCAAACGTCCGAATGAGAGGTAGGAGGTTCGATCTCTGGTTACGGGATCGTAACTGTACACCACTGAGGAGCTCCTACTTAGGATAGAACAGCCGTCCATTGCTTCCATGTTTCCAATGGTTGTTTAACTTAGACAGGTTCATGATTTCCACAAAATCCGCCAATCTTCACAACCCCATACTGACTAAAAGTCAAGTTGGCACGGATACAGAAGGCTCGACTAACTTTTACCAACTTGCGTCATTTATGGTGTAGGCGAGATATCCGTCTATCAACCAAAGGACACGTTTACTGAGCAGCAGTTCGTTCCGTCCTACTTTATGACAGTGAAACATGGCCAGTAAGAGTAGAGGATATTTGTTGGTTACTATTATTTGATCATAGGTGTCTTCGAAACATTGCTCGTATATCATGAGACCATCGAGTAAGTAACACAGCTGTTAGGAAACGGGTACTAGGTAAGGATGGCAAATCAATTGAAGTAGTGAAACTTCATCAACTGAGATGGCTGAGACATGTGTTACGTATGCTCAACCACCGACTGCCCCGACGTGTGGTGTTTTATGGTGTAGGAGTAGGTTGGAAGAAAGCTAGGGGCGGCCAGACCAAAACATGGCACAAATCCATGAAGTCACTGACAACTGAACTGAGATATGTTGGTAGTTGTAAACTACCTGGTTGGGGACCACGAGATGATAACAGCCGATGATTAGAGACCTTGAATGACATGGCGCAAAATTGTTTGCAATTGCGTAAGTGCATCCACTCTTTGTGTTCTCCCAAATTCTAATCTTCTGAATTCTTCATGTCCCTTATTTTCTTTCCAAATTTATTTCACTGTATTATACTCCTTGAATAACATCTTCAAACCCTCATCTTTCCGATTACTGCTTATACTCTTACCACCTCTACCACTACGGGATTTGAATCGACAACTGCATCTCTGTGCTAATGTGGTGTGGCAACTCGAACTGATGTTACGTACGCAGGAAGTTCTACGTTGTTACTTACTGACTGACGGAAAAGTCAGTTTCCGTTTTTCGTTCAAATAATCTGTTTTCACGCCTTAATATGAAACAATCTGATCGAAAATTGTTTAGAAATCGTACAATCAAACTCAGTTATTATATAACATATCCTTAATTTTCAATACATAATATAAAATAGTTCTTTGGATAAAAAACAATGTTATCAGCCGTTTTGATATTACAATTTTAAGTACTTATGAGTAACTCATATTTTTGGTAGGAATTTCATTGCCTTATAGAAAATGGCGAGATTATAATGTATGAAAGAGCTTTGGGTGACGCCACAGGGACCCTGAGAATGTCCACCTACTTACTAGGATTAAAATAGGGTTATAAATTATTGTGAGGAGTTAGAATTACGATTTACAGTTTGACAGTAGGATTAGGAATAGGAGTTAGGGTTTTTATCACGAACTGAAATGAGCTATAACGCCAAAATGTCATTTAGCCATATGGATGAATGAATTTCGCGCCAAGATCCAAGACTCCCTATCTTTAATCTAACTGATTCGTTCACAACTTATGGTCTCGTCGAAAACTTACTAATTTTGCATGTTACTAAGTAAGCGGCTGTAATTGTTTTCCAATTCACAAATACCAATTATATAGAATTTAACATGAAGTTTCTCAAATCATAATTTGTATTGTCAACGAAACTAGATGAAAAATCACAAAAGAAATTCAAATTATATTTAAAAGCTTATTGATAATCATGAAAATATTGAATGTTTAAAGTAAATCTTAGTTGTTCCTTTTTTAATTTGTTTATATTACTGGTTTTATGTTATTGAAGTGACTAGTAATACAACATCAAATGTATCAACAATGAAAAATGTAATGCAAGATAATATAAAATACGCGCCAATTTCAAATATTTCACCAATTATAAACAATCCAACGAATCAATTTCCATCATCATATCGCCGACCATTATCATGTTCAAATAATAAATGGATAATGAATAATTTGTCCGCATCAACATCATCATCATCATCATTATCGCCGCCATCATCTTTGACAATTGTTTCTTGCAAACTTCATAATGTGAAAAATAAATTCACAATAAACAATTAAGTTGATTCACATGAAACATTGCATTGATTCCGTTAAATGAAATTCACAGAAATTTAACTGACTAAAGTTATCTGTTTCTGTAATTAGTTAATGAATTCAATGATAACTAAATGACATAATAAACAAATTATGTTCCTATGAATTTACTATGGATTATTTTGTTTTACAACTAAATAATTACATGTTATATAAAGATTTTTTTATAATAAATCGATATTAACTGAATGGTTAGTGAAGTTGATTAGTAAGGGAGTAGATGTTTTATGATATTTCTGGTATAACATAATGATGTTGACTGTAATCGAAAGTATGATCCTAGAATATATATTAGCTTGTAAATGATAAAACGACAAATTCGAGATTTTGTAGTTTTTGTAGTTTTTGATGAAGTTTTGTTCTCTGAGCTGGATGGTTTGGTCGTGGAGCTTTCATCGTTTTCTGAACGACATCATGAGCACAAACTTCAGATAGAAGTGAAGTGTTCGAATTTCTCCATATGTGTTTCACAGTTTGTTCTGTACACCTCGACGTTGATTGGTTCTTATTGACCTTGAATTTGTCATTGTTTACTTCTTTGTTTTGGTTGTGTCTCACATTCATCCACCTGAGCCACAAATCTTGTACACCATCTCAAAAAAATTTGTAGTTTCTGTAAGCAAATGAATAATTTGAAATGTTTTTGAGCTTTAACACACATATGGATAATTAATAAGCTATGATAATTAGACTAGAATTGAATTTTTCAGTTATTTGAATCGAATGTCAATATGTAAACTTTAGTTTGGTCGTCATACAGTTGGAATATATTGAGTTGAATCGTCAAATTCATCATGGGTGTGAAATTCTAAGAAATCTACAAAAATAATAAGATAGTTATGAAAAAAATTTCAGTCCATACCAAGAACTGATCAATGAAAACCGAAAAACAATGTATATTTTATTGTAGTATAAAACTCTCATGGATTGAACCCAAGACCTTCAGTTCTTACTGATAGCTCTTAGCCTTTAAACCATTGAACCTGTAACCAATAGTTTACATATCTAATTTCAATTAATGCACACTTTCGCTCAAATACTTTTAAGTGCTATTGATGTGTAATTATTAGTGACTAATTTCAAAAGGCAAATCCCTGAATTTTAGTGGCAACCAGTGGGATTCAACCATGTTGGGTTTGAGTCAGTTACGCGCTAATAACATCGGAAGATAGTTTAACAGTGCCGCGAGTAGATCGAAGTTAGGAATATAAATCAGTGAATGTTATCCCAGTAGTCTAACTTTTAAGCAAGGATTTATGTGAATTTTCAACAGCGAATAGAATATAGCTTATAAGACTGTGTATATGTATCATGCAGTCTTTACGAAGATCATTCTAACTACTGAATTTTTTTTATTTTTCATAAACATAATTTCACTCAAATAACTAATAGTAATAATTTCTTTAAGACAAATCCACTGTTTGATAAGCTAAACATGTAGTCAAGTTTGATAAGATTGAGGTATCGTCTAAGGAATGAATAAAAAACGTTTAATAATTGTCTTGTTTTATTGTATAACTTTCCAATATTATTAACATTGAGTACCTTTCATATTTAGGACTTATTAGCAGCCGCTCATAGAATCATTATTGATACAATTCATACAGCTTTGATGAATTTGTCGTACATTATAATCATTCTCTTGTATTAACTGTAGGTTTTTAATTTCCAATCAATTTAAGTTACAGATTTAAAGTATTTGGTTAAAAAAAATTCAAGACAATTTAGTATTTGATGATATTACGTAATTGGACTATAGGCTTTTGAATAGTATATTCTTCATTATCGTTTTAGCCGCTAGCTCATGATAGAGATCGTTTTTTAATCCGACATATCTAGAATATGACAATATACATATTTTTGGTAGTACTGTTATTTAATTACGAAAATCCATCAGATTGGTAGTAAATTATCCATGGAATGGATCAATAACGGGTTTTTTTAAATAAAGTTCCTTATGTAGTTAATTGAATACCTCATAACTTGTTGGATTTGATTTCACTATGAAAAACACAACATCATGTATAACAATCATTATGAAACAGAAATCAGTAAATAACTCTTTTTATTTTAATACATGAGACTCTTTAATTGTGCACACTTATAACTACTTCAAGTATTGAATCATTCTTAGAATTGGATCATTTATACAAATATCTAATACTTATTATTTGATCCAATAACATGTCAATCATGAATAACTTTATCGGACACTTAAAATGGTTTCAAATGTGTATTGTTTTCTTTTGATAAAGACAAGTCTAAACATAATTTACTTATAGTAATAACTATAGTCTTAAACACATATGTTAAACAATTTTTTTCGTGAATACCAGAAAAAAACAACATTTATCATGAAAAAAAATAAACATTGACGTCTTCACTTTTGAACATCTTTTTATTAAACAACATATTGTAATGGTCATTACTTTGAATTTTTCATTTACATTTGAAACACTAAAGCAACAAAACCCCTTCTGAAAAAAAGTATTATTATTAGGAAGGAAATTTTAATTCCCTTTGTTGTTCATGTATATTAAGCACATTTCTATACACAAACATATAGTAGACATATAGACATGCACATATAGACATATACATGTAGACACGCGCACAAATAAGGCTACACGATTTAAATTTGCAAAGGTATTTTTATATCTACGTATATCTATCATAGTTACACCTGTTGAAGTATTTTATTTATGATTAACTTTAATTCCTTTTTTTTCTTTTTTGTTTATAAAGGGCGCAGAAAATAATTTTTTTTTTGAAAAATATGTTAAAACACACACACACATTAAAAAGTTTCATTTCTTAAAGAGTTAATGGATTTACTGAACTAAACTCTTTCATGAATGTGTACATATTTGTTGTTATGTATATATAGATTAATATTGAAGATGTTCCATATGAGCTTACAAATATTTTATGACATGTACTAACTAAACAAATTTAGTATATTTTATCACTAAATAAATATACCTCAATATCAGTATTCTCTTTGATATATATTCTTTGTGTATCCCTTTATCAGAATGTCGACGATCACGGAATTATTTTATACATTCGAGTTCAATTATTTCTTTATGTTCTTCCTATTTTACTCAAATACAAACACACATCTATAGAGATGAGAGGGATAAATAAATACAGATGTTTAAAATTAAAACTGAAGTATAGATCCATACGTTGACATTTATGTGTATGTATGTGAATACTCATTTTAATGATCAAGCTTCTGTATATAGATGTATATGCGCACGTACATGTCATTTTATGAACAAAAAGACACAGAATAATGGCCAACAATAAATTGTAAAGATGTATCGTTTCATTTAGTAAGAAACAAATATATTTAACCACCCATTTAATAGCTCAATTGAATTCCCTTTTTCTTTAAGTTCGAATAGAGTTTTAAATGAAATTTTCTTGTAAAACATAATTATATGTTTCTGTATTGTGCTTCATTGAGGCGAAGAGTAGAGGTTTAATTGAAAAGCAAAAAAAGGAAAAAATATGAAACACACATACAAAGTAACAAGATGTTTGACTAGGTTAAGTTTAGTTTCATTGATTGTTCCATTGTCTTATTAAATTAGCTATATTCTTTTTATTTGAATTGCGATAGTAGACATTATAAATATGAAAAGTTACTGGACATTATATTTACGTTATTCTATACTAAACAGTTTTTAATTTCCTGTTGAAGATTAAATATAATCGATCTCTGATGTCATTTATACATCCTGAGTGGACTGTATTGATATATAGCCTTTGGTAACAAATTTTAGAATAACTCGTCACTTGAATGCACCTGGATACCATTGTTGATACTCATCTCCAATCCTTGATATCAGCTACGAGAAAATTCAACCCCTCATATGCGAATTAATACTCGTTGACAAAGTTAATGGTTATCCGGATTCAGTAATTTTTTAAGATGACACATTGTTGTTTAAAGTGGTGGGTACTGGGTTCGAGTTCCACTGTGAAATTGAACACTGATCCATGGTGAGATTATAAATGTATAGAACTAAGGAGTCTTCCACTGGGATGAAACGGCTCAGCAGTACCTTCTGGTCTCAAATGCACTCTAGCTGAAATCAATCTGTGACAAATACAATATAATAATTTGTTTGTATTTTAAGTCGTTCACAATTTTTTTAAATGACGGGTTAATTGAGTATGACTGAGTTGTTACAACTGATTTCAAGATTAACTATTTACGTCAATGTTACATTCATCAAGATGATAAATTTAATTGAGGGTTTATATCAAGTGTTAAAATACTTACAAATAAGGTGTAATATTAATTGATTTGTGTAGATTTTAATTACAAGTAGTCGAAATACACCTCTGAATCTTGTTTTCGTATTTGTTATCACTAAGATGAAATTTGTGTCTACATTATTCCCAGAAGTAATACTCTCCATAAACGTCAAATGAAATCAGCTCCCTGATGCGTTATTCCGGACATTTGGGATTGATGAAGCCTCACTCAGTAAAGCCCATAGATTTATCTGGGTCAGGATACGCTTTTTTTGAGGCTCATGAACTTACCGCATGGACGTGATTTCGTGGGAAAACCGTTAGAAACCCAGATCTTGAAGTGCGGGCGTCTTTCCTGTGACAAGTATGGTCTACATGTACACAGTGACACACAAGTTTTCACTCGTGCATCCCATAACATACATACAGGTATATTCACCCACCTAGGAAGATAAATATTCACATATTTCTTTGAGTGAATTTGCTAGAACTGACTGTCGCTTACTCATTACTTGCATACCGCTAATGTAAAGACTTTCGTCCATGTACTTCATGAAATGAACGTAAGCATAGGCATGCTCTCAGAGGGGAGGTTGATGGTCACCTCTCCCTAGTATCTGCTGTCATATCTTTTTATGGTGTCTTCGACCCGATAGT